GGCGTGGTCGAGGTGCAAAAACTCGAGGTTTTTTGCGACTTTTGTTGTTCGAACTGGTCCTCGGGAGTTGTCTCGTGGTTCGCGCGCCTGCTCCCGGGTCGGCCGGTCGTGGGTTCGATTCCTCCCTGGTCCGCGGGCGGGCGTCGCAAGACGCAACTTGCATTTTAAAGCAACTTGCGCAGACCAACTTGCACCGACCAGTTTGCGCAGAGCGCCTTGCCTAGAGCAACTTGCGCAGAGCAACTTACGCAGAGCAACTTGCACAGAGCAACTTGCACGGAGCAGCTTGCACAGAGCAACTTGCAGGGAGCGCAATTTGCACAACTTGCGCAGAGCAACTTACGCAGAGCAACTTGCACAGAGCAACTTGCACAGAGCAGCTTGCACAGAGCAACTTGCAGGGAGCGCAATTTGCACAGAGCAACTTGCAGGGAGCCACTTGCAGGGACCAACTTGCCGGAGCAACTTGCGCGGAGCAACTTGCGCAGAGCAACTTGCACAGTGCAACTTGCGTAGAGCAACTTGCGCAGACCAACTTGCACCGACCAGTTTGCGCAGAGCACCTTGCCTGGTGCTGTCTCGCGCCAACTTGCACATATTGCAACTCGCACAGAGCAACGTGCAGGGAGCCACTTGCAGGGACCAACTTGCCGGAGCAACTTGCGCGGAGCAACTTGCGCAGAGCAACTTGCACAGTGCAACTTGCGTAGAGCAACTTGCGCAGACCAACTTGCACCGACCAGTTTGCGCAGAGCACCTTGCCTGGTGCTGTCTCGCGCCAACTTGCACACACTGCAACTCGCACAGAGCAACTTGCGCAAAGCAACTTGCGCAGAGCAACTTGCGCATGTGCCAGGCCGGGGTTAAACAAGTTTGCCGCACATCGTGGGGAGTTATGCTTTCAGGCCACTCACCCTGTAGGAGTTTGACGCAAGGAGTTCTCATCATGAAAGAAGTTGCGGGGAGCATGGCGCACACGGCTTATTTACGGGCATGGCGCACACGGCTGGTTGTTATGTGGCATCTTGCGGATGATCATCGAGATTTGGCTCAAACAGAAGTCATGGAGCTCGAAGTAGCTAGGCTTCAGGATGGCAAGGAGTCATGGCAAGGAGTCATTGCAAGGAGTCATTGCAAGGAGTCATTGCAAGGAGTCATTGCAAGGAGTCATGGCAAGGAGTCGTTGCAAGGAGTCATTGCAAGGAGTCATTGCAAGGAGTCATTGCAAGGAGTCATTGCAAGGAGTCATGGCAAGGATTGCAACTTGCACTTGACTCCTTGCACTTGCAACTTGCACTTGACTCCTTGCACTTGCAACTTGACTCCATGCACTTGCAACTTGCTTGACTCCATGCACTTGGCTCCTTGCACTTGGCTCCTTGCACTTGGCTCCTTGCACTTGGCTCCTTGCACTTGCAACTTGCACTTAACTCCGTGCACTTGCGACTTGCACTTGACTCCATGCACTTGGCTCCTTGCAACTTGCAATGGCTCTCATGACTCCTTGCAATGACTCCTTGCAATGACTCCTTGCAATGACTCCTTGAAACAAGCAAGGAGTCAAGTGCAAGTTGCAAGTGCAAGGAGTCAAGTGCAATTGACTTGCGAGGAGTTAAAATCTCTTCTTAGGGCGGCGGGGTAGTGCCGACGACACTACACGAAAATCGACCCTCTGCGGGGATCGGCGTGGTCGAGGTGCAAAAACCCATGGTTTTTTTGCGATTTCTAAAGTTGCTCGCGCGACCCTCTGCGGGGATCGGCGTGGTCGAGGTGCAAAAACTCGAGGTTTTTTTGCGATTTCTAACCTGCTCGCGCGACCCTCTGCGGGGATCGGCGTGGTCGAGGTGCAAAAACCCATGGTTTTTTGCGATTTCTGCGGTGCTCGCGCGACCCTCTGCGGGGATCGGCGTGGTCGAGGTGCAAAAACCCATGGTTTTTTGCGATTTTAACCTGCTCGCGCGACCCTCTGCGGGGATCGGCGTGGTCGAGGTGCAAAAACTCGAGGTTTTTTGCGATTTCTGCGGTGCTCGCGCGACCCTCTGCGGGAATCGGCGAGGTGCAAAAACTCGAGGTTTTTGCGACTTTTGTTGTTCGAACTGGTCTTCGGGAGTTGTCTCGTGGTTCGCGCGCCTGCTCCCGGAACCGGCGGGTCGCGGGTTCGATTCCTCCCTGGTCCGCGGGCGGGCGTCGCAAGATGCAACTTGCATTTTAAAGCAACTTGCGCAGAGCAACTTGCGCAGAGCAAGTTGCACAGAGCAACTTGCGCAGACCAACTTGCACCGACCAGTTTGCGGAGAGCGCCTTGCCTAGAGCAACTTGCGCAGAGCAACTTACGCAGAGCAACTTGCACAGAGCAACTTGCACAGAGCAGCTTGCACAGAGCAACTTGCAGGGAGCGCAATTTGCACAGAGCAACTTGCAGGGAGCCACTTGCAGGGACCAACTTGCCGGAGCAACTTGCGCGGAGCAACTTGCGCAGAGCAACTTGCACAGTGCAACTTGCGTAGAGCAACTTGCGCAGACCAACTTGCACCGACCAGTTTGCGCAGAGCACCTTGCCTGGTGCTGTCTCGCGCTTGCTTCACGAATGCTTCGTGTAGGGAAAAAGAACGCATCCCGCAGCGTTGGGCCGACCTCGCTTGCGATGTTCTGCTTTCGGGCCAACCGTGGTCTAGTTTTTTGTGGTGGTTTCCATATTTGGCCCACTAAATGTTAGTCAGTTTCTTAACAGGGGATCTGAGGACAGCCCAGGAAAGGGGCAAAGTCAGGAGTCCTACAAAGCTCCACATTAGATTGGTCAAGGGCAAGTATTTTGCCTTGAAGTTTCTTTGGAACGTCTGTTTTGGGGAACCCAACAGCGCCTTTGGCCGGGTTTGGGACTCTTTTTGGGGGGTGCTTTCCAACAAGGCTTTCACTGAAATATTATCCATTTCTTAGAAAGGTGTCCAAATTCCATCATGGTTTTTGGTTAAAAATCGGGGGACTCACAAAACGACGGTTTTCCTTTTCCTTCCCCTTAAACTAAGGGAAGGGGTGCGCGCAGAAAAGCACAGACACACATGTTTCACCTGGTTTTGCTGTTTTGTTTCACCTCTCGGCTGCAAGCCTTTGCGGACTCTCGACACTCAACTTGTGCGGGTCAAGGACCACGCCTGTCGCTTCCTCTTGGGCATGGCTCCTCGAAATCACCCTCCACCAGAAACCAATTTCTTGGGGGGGAGGTACCCTCCCACCAACATGAAAGTTGCAGACCCCTTTGTGGCAAACGAGTTTCCTTTTGGAAAAGGAGTGTTCCTGTGCAGCAAGCTGATTTTGCTGGCGCGGTACTGTTCAGATGGGGAATGCGAGAACCCCTGTTGGGCAAGCACCCCTGTTTCCCAATGTATGCAGGAATCCCCGTGAGGCAAGGGCTACAAATCAACGTCGTCACCTGCAGTGCGGCGATCGGCGCTTGCGAGTCCAAAGAATGGCAGCAGGCCGGTGCCTTGAATGAGTCAACCCACCCAGTGAATTGTGTGTTTTTTCCCCAGATGGGGGTTGATCAAAAGGTCTGAAATACATTGGATGACAGAAAAAAACAACCACTAAAAAGATTTGATATTTCCATTGCCCATGGTCATTTGGGGGCCAGGAGTATGGGTCACCAGCGAAGCTTCTGGTTCGGAGCAGCTTTCACAGGGCTTTCGGCTTGGAGGGGGTGCGCCCCTTTGAACTCAGCTGACAAAAAGGCACCTAAGGCACCCATTTTTCGTGGAAAGAGGTCTGAGTCAAAACCAGGATGTGTCAACATTGGGTATTTTTTTAGTCCGAGACTCTTTGGAGGATCTCGTGCACATTGGGAATTCTCCCCTTTTGAGGGTATTCATTGTTCTTGGAGGGTATCGTTTCTTGGGACAATTCGAAACGTAAATCAAACCTGATGGATAACACCAGCGGGTGGTTCCCGATGTAACCTCGCGTGCTGGGCGTGTTGGGAAGTTGTTTGTGCCTTTCTTGGTTTATTTCTCAGGGTTCAAAGCACATTGCACTTGTTGCTCACATGTCAAGTCGGGCACAAGCACTACCCAGTATTCTGGTCAGGCAAAAAGGCGGCCAGTTGCCGTGTTCCAGACTTATTCAATACCTCTGACAGGTACGACAAAGATATTCACCAGGTGCCAGGTGCCATTCTGCCACGTTTTAAACACGTGGCGGACATTTGTGTTCCAATGACGTGTTCAAGAAATCTTTTGGCACGTTGGCATGTGCGTCGCAACTTTGCAGTTGCGCTGTTCAGGCTAAGTCCAGAAATCCCGAAACTTTAGCAGAGGGCGTTCACAGAAGCAGCGCAAATCAGAAAAGCCTTGCAGCCAACTCGCCGGCTACCGTGATTGCACACATTGTGTGGTGATGGCGTAGGGTTTCTCCATTGGCAACTCGTGCATTGTGGGATTTGGAGGGCCACCAGCGATGTCAACTCATTGCCCCTCTTCTAGACTGGGAGGGTCACAGATTTCTCCGATGAATCAGCGGTCCGGAGCCCGCCCCTTGAATTTACGTGTTTTTTCATTTTCCCAGAGGACTTCCTGATTACAACTGAAACCCAGGAGTAAGACCCTGGTTGAATAGGGGGTTCTCAGTTTAGACAAACTTCAGGCAGCGTCCCCAGTCTCCCGCTCTTCTCCGAGCCCAGCGGTGTGTCCGTTGCCTTTTGATCCCCATTTGGGATTTCCTTCAGTTTGTTTGTCCAGGGTAGACTGAATATGGACCTGTCTCTTTTTTAGTGCCCCAAGCTGGTGGTCTTCTTTTTGGTTTTCCTTTGACACCACCCAACAAGGGGCACTAGCAGCCTCAAACAAAGACAGAAAATCATGTGGATCAGAGTCATCTTCAGTATTTGCTGTGCCTCTTTGGGCCCTTCGTTTCGCTTGAAGTCCCACGGGATCAGTCCAACCTGCACGAGCTTTTTCCAGCTCGAGGGGGGGGGTGGCGGGAGTAAACCAGGCGAAAGCCAATGATTCATGAAGGCCCCGTACTTGGAAGTTCCTCGTTTCCGATGCCAGCTTTGTGAGTTCCCGGCATTTGCCCGCATTTCCAGAAAAAGGCATGATTGAACATGGGCAAGAGGCGAAGTCTGTCCCACTGAAATATGTCTGTGGCTCAAAAATAGGGTAACCCCAGAATGGGTTGCGCTGGCAAATGGAAACATGGACGATTTAACTTGAATCCACGAGGTGCTGGTGCTGGTGGACCACCTCTTCGCTTCGCGTTTGAGGGCCAACGTCATCGCGCTGGGATCCGCCATCGGCGCCTGCCAGGAGCCGAATGGGCGCCAGTTTGGGTCCGGCCGAAATGGGCAGCTGCTTTCTTGGCGCCTTTCAAGCAAAGCAAGCCTAAACCGACCTAAAAAGTGTTCCTGAAAAGTGACAACCTTGCATCAATTTTGCAAAACAGGTCGACTCAAAAGAGCCATACTGATGTGACCACGTGTTATACCCACAGTTTGTCCGTGGTGGGTTGCTTGCTTGGTCGGTTTGCCGGGCATGGGGTAGGGTTCACGCAGCGCTGTGCGACGCGGGATGTTTGGACAGGAAGCTGTTCAAAGGCGAGCGTGACATTTCAGGGAAACACGCAATTCTTTCTCCATTGTTTTTTTGTTGGGGGGGCGGCGCGGCAGGTTGGTAATTCTGTTCGGGCCAGCGGTTGGTAAATTCTAGGCTGTTGGGTTGATCATTGCCAGACCCAGCCAACAGAAAAAGAACAAGGGTGCCGGTGAACAAATGCGAGAACATAAGCAACCAGCTGTATGGGTGCTGGTGCTGAATACACATACATATGGGGTGTGCCACTAATCATACCAATATCATACCAAGCTTCATTTCATAAAGGAGGGGTATTTATTTTAGGATTTGTTTTCGTTTTGTTTTGGGATTTTTTTTTTCGCTTTTGGCTTCTTGGCTTCTTGGCTTCTTGGCTTCTCGGCTTCTCGGCTTCTCGGCTTCTCGGCTTCTTGGCTTTTCGGCTTTTCGGCTTCTTGGCTTCTTGGCTTCTCGGCTTCTCGGCTTCTGGGCTTCTTGGCTTCTTGGCTTCTTGGCTTCTTGGTTTCTTGGCTTCTTGGCTTCTTGGCTTTTCGGCTTCTTGGCTTCTCGGCTTCTGGGCTTCTAGGCTTTTCGGCTTTTTGCTGGTTTATGAGGCTTTTGGCTTTTGGTGGCTTTTTGGCTTTTCGCATCCTCTGCATTCCCAGTTCCTCTTCGGCAGGTGGCGTTTTTCCGACATCATGGGGGGGCTGCCGCCCAACCCCCCCGCTACGTTTTAGATTTTCTGCAGAGATTTAATTAGTTGCACCCCTAGTTGAATCATCAATTCTTCGAACATCATGGGGGGGTTGCACCCCTAGTTGAATCATCAATTCTTCGACCATCATGGGGGGGGGCTGCCGCCCCCCCCAACCCCCCCGCTACTTTTTAGACTTTTTGCAGAGATTTAATTGCACCCCTATTCAAATCATCACTTCTGCAAACAACTCGTGGGGGGGGGCTGCCGCCCCCCCCAACCCCAACCCCCCCGCTACTTTTTATATTTTTTTACAGGGATTGACATGCCCTCCTACTTGAATCATCATTTCTTTGGGGTGATGCTAGGGATGTTGGTGGGACATGCGGGGGGTGTTGACGGGCTAGTGTAAAATGCGTCAATTTCGCGAGAACATGCTGTAAAATACGACACTTTACTGGCCCGGCAGAGATTGAATTGCACCCCTGTTTGAATCATCACTTTTTCGTGCGTCCAATTTCGCGAGAAAATGCTGCAACATACGACATTTTAGGTAATCTCACCCTTTCTTGAATCATTGCACCCCTACTTGAATCACCACTTCTTCCGACATCATGGGGGGGCTGCCGCCCCCCCCAACCCCCCCCGCTACGTTTAGATTTTCTACAGAGATTTAATTAATTGCACCCCTAGTTGAATCATCAATTCTTCGAACATCATGGGGGGGGGCTGCCGCCCCCCCCCCAACCCCCCCGCTACTTTTTAGACTTTTTGCAGAGATTTAATTGCACCCCTATTCAAATCATCACTTCTGCAAACAACTCGTGGGGGGGGCTGCCGCCCCCCCCAACCCCCCCGCTACTTTTATATATATATTTACAGGGATTGACATGCCCGCCACGAGAACATGCTGTAAAATACGACACTTTACTGGCCCGGCAGAGATTGAATTGCACCCCTGTTTGAATCATCACTTTTTCGAGCGTCCAATTTCGCGAGAAAATGCTGCAAAATACGACATTTTAGGTAATCTGTGTAGTCCGTGTATGTCTGTATGTATGCATTTCTTCGAACATCATAGGGGAAGCCACCCCCGCCAACCCTCCCGCTGCCTTCTAAATTCTATCACACCCTTTCTTGAATCATTGCACCCCACCTTGAATCACCACTTCTTCCGACATCATGGGGGGGCTGCCGCCCAACCCCCCCGCTACGTTTTAGATTTTCTACAGAGATTTAATTAATTGCACCCCTAGTTGAATCATCAATTCTTCGAACATCATGGGGGGGCGGCCCACCCCAACCCCCCCGCTACTTTTTAGACTTTTTGCAGAGATTTAATTGCACCCCTGTTCGAATCATCACTACCCCGCTCTGTTTTTCTTAATAGTTTTTTTGTTTTTGGTTTTTTGCTGGGATTGAAATGCCCTCCTGTTTGAAGCATTATTGTTTTGACCCCGCCAACCCGCCAGCTACATTTTTGGATTTTGTTACCCACGATTTGTTGGTGATGCTAGGGATGTTGATCGGACATGCGGGGGATGTTGAAAACGATGCTGGGGATGTTGACGAGCTAGTGTAAAATGCGTCAATTTCGCGAGAAAATGCTGTATAATACGACATTTTGCTGGCCCGGACGAAAAACGAAGAAAAATCCAAAAAAAAAAAACGAAAACAATTCCCAAAATAAATCCGCACCCTTTCATAAACAACGGGATACCAAGGCTGCCCTTCGTCAATACCCTTCGAGGCATTAGAAGGGAGACAGTATCTTCAACTCGGTCGGCTTCGGACAAGTTTGTGACGGCATTAACACAAGTGTTTGGGAAAACACATGACATGGGATACCGGGGATGTGCATGGATTCCCAGTGAAGCAAACAAAATCCAAATATTGCCCGATGTCCCAGCCCTAAGACAAACAACAACATGGATTGGCCGTGAACGTGGCCGCACATTTCCTCCCCCCCCAAGAAAAATGAACATTACCCCACCTAAACGATCACCAAAACCTCAAAACGGGGTCACTGATCATGTGGTCCCTCCAGGAGAGGTGGCCGGAGGCCCTTCAGCTGCTGCGGATGCTCCAAGAACTGCGGATCCAAGCGAACGCGCCCTGTCCTTCACGGACTTGCGATTCTCGTTGTTTTTGATGTCAACTTTTTGTGGACAGGGGTTCCTCCATTTCCCTTTGTGAACCTTCAACAGTGGCGATCGTTTCAAGAGAAAACATCAGCAACTTATACAGCGTTTGAAGGCGCTTTTTTACCATGGAGTTCCACTGGGGGCCGTGACGGGCGTACGCTTTTGGGTTGTTGGGTATCCAAAAGGTAGCCGCCGATTTTGGTGAATGTCACCAAGATTGCAGCTGGGTGCTGTTGCAGGGTTGCTTCAAAGGGAATCCAAAGGCCCAGGATGTGTCAGGGGCGTTTTGCCGTTGGATTTCCATTTTTCCATGTTCTGGGCCCTGGGGCAGACATGAGCAACCTCCAGCTAGTGTCCAGGATTGGCTGTTGAATAAAGCAAAGGGAACTCGGGGCATCGCCTTGTGTGCATTCTCCTCTATTGGCAAACTTCAAACTTGGTTCTAGTGGCGTTCATCTTGAGCAATGTCTGGCAGAAGCGCATTTTGGCCGGTGATTGTTGGTGTCACAGCATGCCACCCCGTGAAGGATGACGGAGACTCCAGGTAAGCCCGGTTACCATGGTCGATATCCACGTGTTACCATGGTCAAGATTGGCATTCCAGTGTTACCGGCATAGATGCCACGCCACAACAAAAACCTTCAAATCTCCATTTGCCCATCCTGCGGCATTGGTCCTTCCCACCTCAGCTCGTCACGTGCGCTGTCCGTTTTGGCAGGTTCCACCCGGTTTCCTGTTGGACATAAGCCGGCACGTTGCTGGAACCCAAAGCCATAACAGTCATTGGGTGTTTGTTTGCGCAGGTCGTGGAATGTCCCCATGCAAACCACAAGGGGTAGGTGGTTTTCTCCGGTTTTGTTCCTGCCCCCCTTATCATTGTACCCCTCATTACTTGGATGTTCAACTAACTTAGTAAGTTTAAAACCGTGGTTAGACCTGGTGCAACTGGGGTTGGTCCCCTATGGTTATAACATGTTTTATAACCTACTTGGCTGAGCATCCAAGTATCCTCACCGTGGTATTCCAGCCGGCCGTAGGCCATTTGCTACAACTCGGCGATCAGCGCCCTGGAGAAGGGAGGCGAATGGCTGCGAGCCTTGCGCTTGCTGCGGGAGATGCAGGTCGCACTGCGAAGGGTTGGGGTGGTTTCGCGTTTTTGTTTTTTTTTGTTTTCGGGGGGGGGGGGGGATTTGGGTGGATTTGGGGGGGGGATGGAGGACTTGGGGGGGGGGGGTCCGGGGGTGCATCTGAGATTTTGCCAATGTCCAGATGTGGGCGGAATAAAAGGGGACCTCTCCAAAGTGGTGGTTTTCCTTTAGGTGTCCCTCTAAACACCCCAAAACGGGTCCCGCAACACAAGCGGACCCATATGGCCATTTGGCATAATTTATTGCTCCATTTTGGGGTGGATGAACATCCATTTGCCACCTATTTTGATGTTCGCCAGGGGAAAAGGGTTTTGACCCACAGCCATATGTTGACAGTTAAAGCCCCTCATGCTGCGCGTTCTCACGAGCCTCACGCCAGGAGACGCGGCTGCAGCTGGACATCGTTTCCATCAGTTCCGCCATCAGTGCCTGCGAGAAGGGCGGGCAATGGCAGGAGGCTTGGCCCGCTCGACATGGCGTCCTGCTTGCGCCTGGCTTGAAATCGATGGGCGATTCTGAGACTTGGGAGTGTCCAGTCGTGAGAAATAAGTAGTCCTTGACGGGGGACGAGTATCATCTACCACTGGCTCGTTTGCACAGATGGAACAATTTTGCTTAATTGATGGAGCTACTCTCAAGCCTTCCAGCCGGATAACATAGGGCCCCACTCATTGCGTGTTCCTATATCCCCTGCCCACGCCCCAACCGTTTTCTTCCTCCCCTCTTTTGCCACCCTCATACCCTGCTTTTATTCTTTTGAGACGGTTTCGGCACCATGTGAGCAACTCACAATGTTATTGGTAGTCTACAAGTCTACGATTTGTTTTAGGGGAGAACGCCGCATGAACAAGTGTCTTCCTCCAATCAATTTCCACACAACCCCTGCCTAAAAAAATGATTAATTACTTCTAGTTTATCCAGTGTATTCCTCCAACCCCGGCCATTTGTTTGGCTTTCGAGTACCCCACAACCCCAAACTCTAATAAACCATTCTAGGGGGGAGACCATTTTTTTCTTTGGGGCCACCCAATTCTACTGTCCTCCCTTCCCCTCACCCCGCCCCACCCACCCGCGTGGCAGGCGCTGCAGCTGCTGCGGGAGCTGCGGCACAGAGCTGTGAAGGCCAACGTGGTGGCCTGCAGCGCAGCCATCAGCGCCTGCGAAAAGGGGCAGGCGGGGAGGATTTGTCGTCGTTTATTGTTCTTTTCTTTTTTGTGTGTGTGTGCCTTTTTTTTTCTTTCTTTTTTTGTTGTTCCCGCGTTGGAGGAGTCGTCTGTTTCCCTCCCTCGGTGTCTGTTTTTGTTGTTTTGTTTTTTAGTCGGGAGAGTTGTCTGTTATGCTTGTTTTCGGTTTTTGTGTTTGTTGTTTTGTTTTTTCGTCGAGGGATTGTTTCCCGTTTTTTTTTGTCGTCGGGGGAGTTGTCTCTTTTTTTGGTGTTTGTGTTTGATTTTCTTTTTTTGGTCGGGGAGTTGTCTGCTATGTGTGTTTCTTGTTTTTTGGTTTTGGTGTTTTTGTTTTCTCTCTTTTTTTTTTTTTGGGGGGGGGGGGAGTTGTCTGTTGTTTTATGTTTGTTCCGGTGTTTGTGTGTTTTTTTTCTCCGCGTTGGGGGAGTCGTCTGTTCCCCCCCGGGTTTCTGTTTCTTTTTTGTTGGTGTTTTAGTCGGGGGAGTTGTCTGGTATTTTGGTTTTCGGTCTTTGTGTTTTTTGTTTTTTCGCCGGGGGAGTTGTTTTTTTTGGGTGTTTGTGTTTTTGTTTTTTTTGTTGGGCAAGCCGTCGGTCTTGTGTTTTTCAATGTTGTTTCACTGACTCGAAACGGTGGGAATTTCAGGAGATGTCGATTTGTTTTTCACCCGTAGCTTCGAGATATTCACCTCCTGAGTTCCTTTTTGCGGTTTTGGAAGGTTCACACTTCCTGAGTTCCTGGATTTGATATTGGATTGTCGTGTTTTTTTGTGTTTCACCCGAGACGTGTTAGAATTTCAGGAGATGTCGGTTGGAGGGGATGTCGGGGATGTGTCTTTTTTTTCCCACTCGAAAGGTTGGAGTGATACGTTTGACCATTTAACCGCTGGAATTTTAGCTTTGAGGCTTGGAGATACTCACTTCCTAAGTTCCGGGACGTGATACTTTGGACCACCAATTTTAGTTGGGATTTTAGTTGCAAACAACCAGTTTGGACCGATTTTCCGCTAATTTCACATCGGAAGTGAGGATATTGAACCATTTAACTGGTGGCCTAAGCTTTGAGCAGATCCTGGGTTCATGTTAAAACTCCTTCTGAACAGGAGGCAATATATTGCTAGGGACATTCTCATCCCCTGGCTTCAAAGCTATATAGAAGCTATTTGAATTGGCCAAGGATTTGCGGATTGGATGCCCTGGGAGAAAGTCTCACTGGATGGTTCTCTTTGGGGTTCCCTCATGTACTGAGAACCAGCTAGTGATTCAGATTACTGAATTTTGGTTCTGTGCTAATTAACATGGAACCCAACCAAGGTGTTCCTCCATAGGTTGAAGATTTTGGCTGTTCTATGTCAATCTGCAGCGAAGTGTAAATATTGCAACACGGATCAAACCAAAAGCCGTTGTTCAGACGACCTTTGCTTGCTGCTTCTCAGCAGGGATGAGGGAATAACCCCTACAAACCATCCCACTGGCGGTTTCTTTTAAGGAAATGGGTTTGTTCCCACATTCCCTACCGATCACCAGTTTGGAGTCTCGCCCGTGACGCGTCGCGTCGCGCAGATTTCGGTGTTTCTAGGAGACACTTCCCCAGTCTTTCCAGGGATCCTTCTTTTCAGAGAACCAGCAGAATCCAAGGGGACACAGCACTCGGGTTTTGAAAAGAAGGATGGTTGAAAAGAATGGGGAATCAAGCCCTAGAGTATTGGGGCCAGGAGTGGCAGCGGGCCTTGCAGTTGCTGTTCAGCCTGGGGGACTGGCACGTGCAGCCCAACATCTTCAGCTTTAGGTGGGACGGGATTTGCACATGGATTGCCATCGAAAAAGAGACATCCCCGGTGGCGGGAATGCAAAAAACAACAATGCCCGTTGCACCCCCGTTTTGCCGGAGCCCACGTTTTCTGCTGGGGTGTGTTTTGCCAAGGTCTCGGAAAAAAGAGCTTGTGCTGGTTGGTCTGACGCAAACCCAGGTTTCGATGTGTTTGATTTGCGTTACAAACTTGATCCTTCAATGTGTTGGGCGACGTCCCGAAAGCGAATTGTGAATAGTCAGTTCTTTCCCTTTCTTCGGGGCAGAAATTCTTGCATGAGAGTGCTACATGGGCTGTCTTTCCTTGGTGGCTCCCAGCCATCCCCTTAGCCTTAGCCTTTTAGTGTTTAGTGGGGTTTTCCAGTTAGCCCACTAAAAGTTACTCTTTTAGCCGGGGATCTGAAGGCAGCCAGTCCGCAATCAAACGTAGCCATCAGTGCTCCATGTTTGGCGGACCGCTACAATAGTTATGTTGCCTAAGCTTCTGCGAATGAATGCGTGCTGCTGCGATGATGCGCTACTGGGTGTGACCTTCGAGGGAAAAGGATTGCAGGATCTTAATTCGAGGTGGCTTCGCCTACAATTGATTTGGAAGACCCTGTGCCTTGAAGTAGATCTAATACCCAGTCGCCTAGGACAAGGTTCCTTTCTGTGCCAACCCACAACCTTTCTGAGACATGGTCTTCATGTCCACTCTGTCGGCCACTTGTTAGGACACATCTGTATTTGTTGTCCACTCTGACTTCAAGGGTCATCCACACTCAATGCCTTAACCAGCCCTCTTGCCCACTTGCCTCTCCACCCGGCTGTGATTCAACCCTACCCGTTGTGAAGTGTTGCCCCCAGTCAGGTTTCGTCTCAGTGGGATCTCACAAACGCAAAGCAGCGAAACCCCAAAAGGCTGTATTCCTCTTGTTTTCCCTGCGAAATCTTCCAAATACTGGGTTTCCCCTCAAAACACCATAAAAGACATCTACCAGCACCCTCCCAGAGTTGTCAATTGGTACCCAAAATGGCTCCACAAGGGCGCTTCAGGTAGAAATGGACCACTTTTGGAGAGTGGTACACCATATCCTTTGAAGCCCTTCCCATCGGATCCGAGTCGATCCGAGTCGATGCGAGTCGATCGACAGCGCGGCGGTGGTGGCCTGCGAACGCGGCCGCGCCTGGCGAGAGGCGCTGCAGTTGCTGCGGGCCATGGATGAGGCGCTCGATGTGCCGTCGCCTGAGGCGACTCGTGTGGGTGGGGTGGGGTGGGGTGGGGTGGGGTGGGGTGGGGTGGGGTGGGGTGGGGTGGGGTGGGGTGGGGTGGGGTGGGGTGGGGTGGGGTGGGGTGAGGTGGGGTGGGGTGGGGTGGGGTGGGGTGGGGTGGGGTGGGGTGGGGTGGGGTGGGGTGGGGTGGGGTGGGGTGGGTGGGTCAGTGGGTCGGTGTGTACGTGTGTGTGTGTGTGTGTGTGTGTGTGTGTGTGTCTATGTGTTTGTTCGTGAGGATTTACCGTTTGGGTGGTTTTAGAGGGATGCCAGAAGACAAGTCACCATGTTGGGGTCACCCAACAAAAACACACACCCAGATGTGTAAAGAATCAATCAACCCCCAGATCCCCTTCAACGTGAGTCTAAATGGAGGTTGCTTGGAACACGAGGGGTTAATACACGTGGAAGCAAGGGGGCAAGCAAAGTCTGCTGGGGAGCCAAGCAATGGGCAGAGGTTTGGGGAAGCCAGAACGAGCTCGCTGATTCTTAGCCTTATCTGCTTCCGGTTTGTAGTCACGTTTAGGTCAGCCTGACTTGATGCACCATCCTTCCAAAGGCCATATAGCTAGACCGTTTCTGTTGTCGAAAGAGCCTGGCCCTAATTACTTCAAAAATCGCACTTCTGTTGCCGGAGTGATCCTAATCCAAGTGTTCCCTGGTCTCCCAAAAGCGGTCCAAAGTGTGGTTGAGGTAGCTCAACCATAGACAGTTAGAGGCTATATGTTGCACTTTTATGTATAATCTACCTTTGGAAGCTTCCATGCCTTTTTTTCTCCGGGGAAATGCAGTAGTATGTTTCATCCAGCTGGCCAAACTCGCCAATGCTCAAAATTGCAATTGGCTGCCTGAAGTAGATAGCATTGCTGTGCACATAAGCGCAACAGTTTTCTTTAAGAGAGACCTTGCATGCCCCGTGTTTCGTCAATGTGGTACCATGACTTGAGCCCTCAACAATGCATGAAAAGAGCGTCAAACGGGAACAGATCGGAAACGATGCCGCGCAGCTCACCACCAGCCCAGCACACCAAGCACAACCATTTCAATTGCAGGTTGCCCGGCATATTATCCTGAAATGTCCATGCTTTTTTTTTGGCCTTTCCGCGCCTTTTTCTAGCCTTTCCATGCCTGTGTATGGTCTTTCCACGGATGGTCCATGGTTTGTCCACGGTCATGTCATTTTCCAGAACACGCATTGGTTTGAAGCCAGGGATCATGCGGACTGTCGATATCTTGAGCTAGCTGCTGAAAAGTTGTCACTGGATTTGTGTTCAGACCTTTGCCAAAAGCGCAGAAAGTTCTGCATTCCAGGATGGCGGTCGGCTGCATGGTCAGGAACATGCATACTGCCATAGTTAATATGTCACATAGCCACATGTCTTATCTAGTCATGCTTACGGATAAAGCCGTCAATTGGCAAGCACATAATATGACGGTTTTCCATGTAACATCACCTGCGAGCTACTAGAACTACGCAGGACCCTGTGGCAAGCTGAACTTCCAGGGGTTAGACATGTTCACTCTTTTGGAGATCTCCATGTTGCGGCCGGCCGTACTTTTGTTCATAGCCTTTGTCTTTCATTGTGGTCTGTAGGCGGTATTAAAATTGCCCGAGGAAGGCCGGGGTGTTGCAGGTAGGCGGAGATTCCCTAGCTCTCCTTGTTATGGTCGAGGGACATTATTATTATTTTTTCGCTCTTCGTTGTTTCAATGGTCGAGTCGGTAAAAAGAATAGTCGAGGAAGCACTGGGGATCAGCTATGTCCATTTTCGTCCTAGTTTTTCCTTTTGGATGGGGGGGACCCAATTGGAGTGCCACGAGTGTCCTTGTTAGCTTTGCTTGGGTTTAAGTTAGAGGGATTCCATTGGCTTCGGGTTGGTCCTCCTCGTTTCCCAGCGCTATCGATTTTGCGCAAGCGGACAAGGCAAACCAATCCTTGTCGGATGGGCCCATTCGGCTTTGCTTACTGTAGACCGTAGACCTCCCCAAGAAGCAGGGCCGCTCCGAACCTCAAAAAAGTTTCGATCGCATTTCGTTTGTTTTCTTCGGATTCCCCTTGGGACCAAATTTGTTTTGTGACGACAAAGGTTGCATGAAGTGCACCAACCGGAATCCTCCGTTTTGGTGTCCAAATCCCTGGTTTCACCGGAAAGCAAAAGGGAACCCGCCATTTTCGGGGGTCCCACTCCTCAAAATATATAGGTTTTTCAAAAAAAACATAATTATAACAATAATAACACATAATCATCATTAATCATCATAATAAACTATTTGAGGTGATGACCTACAACGCGGCCATCAGCGCCTGCGAGAAGCAGGGACAATGGCGCCACTCTTTGGCATTGCTCGGCGTCTTGGAGGCGCGCTTTTGAGTTGGATGGTTCGGGCCGGACATCGGTTTCCTCGGGGTTTCCCTTAGGAGGCGCGCTTGGCGGACGTGATCTCCTACAACGCGAGCATCAGCGCCTGTGAAAAGGCGAAGCGGTGGCAAGAGGCGCTTCAGGTCTTGGTACGCCTCAGGCAGAGCCCCGGCACGCGTCGAAGATGAAAACGGGAACCACCCACCAAATGGAGTCGTGATTTTTAAAGGGAAAGCAACATGTTTTTGCGGGGGTCCCTTATTTGTGTTTTAAAGGGAAACCAACATGGAGCGCAACACTTCTTTTTTTTTGGGGGGGTCCTGTTTTTGTAAACACACCCACATGGCACCGTTTGGTCGCCTCAGTCACGGGCCACTTCAAGGAAAGGGGAAGTTGGTGCCCCTCTTCTAGGGTCAGGACTGCTTTAAGAGGGCCGAAATTGGTGCTGGGCTATGCGTCGGGATCAAGATCCGCCAGTCTGGTCATTTGCAGAGTGAGTTAGGTCATGTTTGTGAAAGGCAAAAACAACAACATCGTGGGTTGGGAATTTACCACTGCCATCTTGCTCACAGTTTTTTTCTCTTCTTAAGCTGGCGCTGAATTCCTGAGTGAGCTGGCTTTGCTGGTCTCTAGTGTCAGCTCTGCCGTGCGACACATATGTTTGCCATCAGCACAAGGGTGCGACACTTGTTGCGCAATCCAGCGGCATCAATCGCCGGAGCTATCTACCTAGAGTCTCCAAGACCCTTTAAAAACAGGTCCATGACCCCATTATTTAGGGTAATGCCCCCCATTGTTAAAGGGTCATGGAGACTCCAGGTATATATTATATGTGCAGCTGGCTATCCACCGAACGTCCATCCAAGCCCAGGGTCCTCTTGCTGAGTGCTTGCATTCCCCGCAAGTACCGCGCTGCTGCTCATGAAAGCAAATGGCTGAGGGTCAAAAATAGGCACCGAAATGGGACTCTGGTAAATGGAACCAAGGACTAAAACCTGCGCTCCCTTAGTGGTTTGATCTTGACCCCTTCTCCAAATCGCATGGATATGTTTCGGCGCGTCGGTGTTTTTTTTGTTCCGTGGCCTGTAAGGAGCAGGATGAAGGAGGACATGATCAGCAACCCGGCCAGACATCTCCAGACTGATTCACCCACTTGGATGTCCCCAGTTTTGGGCTTGCCAAGTGGCTTGAAAGGCCAAGTCTTCCTGAAGATTTATTTTCCGGCCTTTTCCTAGGCGTTTTGGTTTCCTGGTAGTTTTGGGCGTGTTGGACGTTCTAAACATAGATACGTAGGAAAAGCAAGTTAAAGACGCGAACTACCAGGAAATTCATGGAGAATGAATCTCCAGGTTGTGCTTTTTGGCTGGATGGGCCAATCGACATGACTCGGAAGTTCGAGGTCGGAGAATTGGATGGACACGAGCTCGAGTATATTGATTCGACCTTTTGCGGAGAATTTGGAGCCCCACACAAAGGTGCTCTTCATTGGGGGAAGGGAGGGGAGATCGGGGAGGGAACCCCAAACTCTTAAGCCCTGAAGCAAGCCCAGTTCTTGCGGCTGATTTGGGCTCTACCTCCCTCCCCCCAAAAAAACCATCACCCCCCCTCCCTCCCAGGCCTCATCAGGCCCCCTCCCATCCCCCCCTCCCTCCCCCAGCCCCATCAGAACCCAGACTCCATCAGACCCCCTCCTCCCATCCCCTCCTCCCGGCATCAGAACCTCAGAACCCATCGCTGTGAGGCTACAGCTCGGCGATCCTGGCCTGCGACAGCTCAGGGGAGTGGCACCAGGCCTTGGCGCTGCTGGAGGACGTGCAGCAGCGGCGCATGCAGGCGGCCGGCCGAGGGCTCCTGGGGCTCCTGGGGCGGTCGGTGGACCAATTCCTTGAAGTGAGCTCCCGGGTTCACTTTGCTTTTGATTAGCTTGCACTTAGTCTTTGGTCGTTGGACCACTTCTTTTCGGTGGGATCTCTCCTTCAATCCCACGGTGCGAGGGTTTTTGGAAGATCAGTTTCCTCTGACCCCCCCAAAATCCGGTGCCACGGTGTGGGAGAGAGCAATCAAACACCAAAGAGCCGGGGAGATGAACAATCCCAGCCATGGGTGCCGCCAAAGCGCCTGCTTGGCACCTTATTTTTTTTTTGGGGGGGGGTCGAGAAAGGAACTAAAGGTTCATTTTGGGGGGGTTCCCCTTTTTTGACACACCCCCAGATGGGTGGTTCTCAAAGTTAGTTGGCCCATATGCGCAATTGAATTTTGCTTGGTTTCCTCTCAAGCCACCATTTTTGGGTGGACCCATTTCACGAAAGGTAGCTTTGAAGAGGCTGCCTTGCGTCTTCCCCTTGCGATAGCAAGCTTAGGAGGGGCGCAATGCATGAAAAGTCCCTCCCCCAAAATAAAATGAAAAATCAGTTCGCAGCTGCAGGTGTTTCGATTGGGTTTGCGCGACGATGAAAAACAAAGCCCTATTGTGACAAGCTCCTATGTTCAAGGAACCCCCTCGAACACACTAGGGTCCCTCATGAAAATGTTTGAGTCGATTGGCAATTCAGAGTTTTGTTCCCATTGGTCGCCTATGCGGCGATGTTCGATGGCAACGTGGGATTCCTACCTTTCGTGTCTCCTTCTCAAGTTTAGTTTTTGTTGTTTGCGTCGACTGAAGAATATAAAGTATTGAAGTACTATCAACGTATATACAATACATGTACGTATTTATTTAGGTAGTTATGTATTTGCTACGTATTTATTTTAGTATTTTGTTTTAGGTAGGTTTGGGTTTTGTTATGTGTTTCATGTGTTTATCAATGTATTAAACATATTTATTGTTCTTGGTTTACTCTAGAGTTGGGCCAAGACACCGTGGCCTTTGCAATGGTGGATGTACCTAGGCTCAGGTATCCCTTTGGAGGTTTCGAGCCTGGCGGTTTGGATTTGACTTTCTGGGGGGCGTCTCCTGGATTGATCAGTGCAACCCAAAGGGAAGCCATCCACCACATCTCGCGCTTGGCCATGGCGCTTTCAAGAGTCGCCGGAGGTGAATGTCATCACTTACAGCTCCGCCATCAACGCCTGCGAGAAGCGTGGGAAGTGGCAGCAGGATTCGGAGCCGAGTTCGGTCGCAGGGGGACCAAGGGAGGTGGTTTAAACTATATCTTCTTGAGCATGTTGAAAAAGGAGGGTTGGAAAACCAAAAGGTGATTGTTTAAACGGGCCAAAGAGGGGCTTTTTGATCACCCCACGTGCAGGCCCTGTCCTTGCTGGGACAACTTCAGGGCTGCTGCAGCGCTTTGCAGTGGGCGTCGGAAAAAAGAGAATCGGCGGATGCACAAATCCAGTTTGTTTGTCTCAAAATGAGGGGAGCCTCAAATGTTTGGTTTCCTTTTGGTCTCCTGCAAAACGAACCCAAAGGGACTTCCTCGAGCAAAACAGGTATTGCCAAATGAATCAAATGAGCCACACAGATCAAGGCTAGGGGCCAGTGCCAACCAGAAATGTGTGTGGCCACCCTTTTCGATTGCTTACATTGGTTGGGGTAGGCTCCGAATGCGTTTCTCTGAGTCTGACTCGAGCCAGCTTCCCTTGTTTCAAGTTTCCCCTAAAGCTGGCTCGTCCCAACCAGAAATAGCTGCGGCCGCCTTCTCAATTCTGTACATGGTTCTGGGTAGACCAGTTTAATACCGGGTTTTGAGCATGAGACTCAGTTGGGCAAAGTTGGGTTGCTTCAGAGCTCGGGGGGCGGAACCGCCAATGGTCAATGCTCATCAGTTTTGATACGGGATTTCTCCGCCTCACCGAGGAACGCAGCCACCGGCAAGGTGGCGCGAAAAGCTCTACTAGACCAGCTCCGGGCGCAGGCGGCGGCGAACGTCCAGCGAATCGCGCGAGTTCGTCCTGCGTATGTTTCAGGGAAACGCACAAGCAGGATTGTTCCTTAGTTGTTGGGTAACATCTTACATCTTTGCCCTTTACTAGGGAAATGATTTTTTGGGCCCAAGGAGAGGCGCTCACTGGACTGGGGGTGGAAAGATCCGTCTCGGGCCGAAGGAAAAAAGAATTCCCTAAGGAGAGGCGCTCACTGGTCTGGAGGCAACAAGTAGCTGTGGCTCAAAATTAACAAGCAGGGTACGCAGGTTTTAGTCTTCGGTGTCATTTACCAAGGGGTCATTCATTTTGCCACATGTTTTGGAGCCACAGCCATATAGCTGTGAATTTTAGTGGTTGGAAGCCCCTGGAAAAGTGGTGGACCTGGTTGATACCTTTCTGTTCTGATTCGGTTGGATTGATTTCCAAAAGTTGCAAAGCTCTTTAGAAAACCTTGTCGCAGCTGGATATCCCTGACCGTAGCGATATCTATACAAACAGACCCAAGGACTTCGAAATTTCTAAAGGAGTACCTAGAGTCTCCATGACCCGAATCAAAAATAGGTCCATGACCCCATTCTTTAGGGTAATGCCCCCATATTTTACAGGGTCATGGAGACTCCAGGCAGAAACTGCCCAAACCAAGGGGCACCGAATCTAAAGGGGATGGAAGTAATACCAGGCTTGATGCCATCTAATTTAATGCACCCATTTGGGTAATACTTTGGATGGACGAAATCCTGCACCACCAAACACAGCCTGGAATGGTCTGATTCCCCTGTAAAATCCCAACAAATCATGGGTTCAACCATGGTTTCAAAGTGGTGCCTCAGCGGATTTCGCAACCATCCACAGTACCATGGTAGCCAGGAGTCAGCGGTCAGCTCTTCGGCTTCGAGGCGCGAGAACGGGGCCAATCCGGCGAAAGCAATCCATGTGGGTATGTGTCATTAAAGGAATCGGGTGGCGCAAAAGACATTTGGCGGTTTCCCTTGTGGTTTCCCCATTTTGTGGTTTCCTTTAATGGTCAAAGTAGGTAAGCAGAATCCTCCCGGCGAGCAGATTCCTTGTGGTTTCCCTTTAAACCAGCCCCAACAAGGGGCACCCTCCCAGGTCTGAAATTTCAGAGGTGCAATGAGGTCGTGGCTTGTCGCATGCATGGCGCGAGAACGGGAATACCCAAATCCACTTCGTACCAGTTGGTGGTTGATCCAAAATCGTGTCATCCAACTGGTGCAGAAATTTCTCCATCCGCCGAATCTTGCAGTAGTCGTTCAATTGTCGCACTTGGTGGGTTTGTGGGTCCAATTCTGGCTTCGTTCAAGAAAGTTGCCAAAAAGTGATCCGTTAACCAATATTAAAATTGGGAACCTAGTTACTCAGGGCATGTTTGGTTCAGGGGCCTATAAGCCCTTCATGGCCTTTCCAAGAACTCGGCCTGGGCTGGGATCGCGGACTTCACCGGAGTCCCCTGACTCCATGATGGGAGGCTTCGCCCAGTGAGCCGATCGCTGGCCGTTGGACTGCGGCTGGCAGGAGACGGGGAAAAATGGTCATGTCCAAGGAGTAGCCTCCCTGCAACTAACGTGGCAACTGACAGGGACCCGCTCCCTTCAAAAGGAGATGGTGCCATGTTAGTTGGAGGAAGGGTAGCGGGAACCCCGGATCAATGAACCCCCGAGTTGAAACTGGGCGGGGGGGCTCTCTGGTTTAGTGGGAGATCATCACATGAAAGAAACACCTGGGAATCCCGGATCAATGAACTTCTGTTGAATAGGAAGTCCCTGATTTAGAGCGGGATTCATCACACGGGAACACCCCCGTATAAATACGAGGGCTTTATCAATCTCAGGGTCTTAGGTTTTGGGAGCCCTGGCAACCATTTTGTTGATGCTACATTTTCCAGCTGAGCTGAAGCAAGTAGCATCGGCGCCCTGCTTGTTGTCACTTTAGTGAGAGTTTACTATCCTCCGGAGACGATAGATAGCAGTATAGCGAGGTCCGACCAGCATAAGCCTCTATGCCCAGTTTGATGGCACGAGGCAATGGGAGTTGAGCTATGCTCTTGGTGTTTGCCCACAGGATGATCCATGGAGCTCAATATGTGACCAGCTCGGAGTGTGTTTGGTTTCCGAACCCTGAGATCCTGTCCGAGGGCGTTTCCTAAGCGACACTTAGGGTTGTGATGACAAGATTGTTGCCAATGTAAATGGCTGTGGGTCAAAAAAGGTATCCAAAATGGAACCCTGGTAAATGGAAACATGGACTAAAATCTGCGGTCCCCTGGTGTTTTAATATTGACCCACACCCAAATCATCATCCAAGTGGCACGTGGGAAAGGGGACTCCTCTCCCCATGTTCAGGGTCTTCTCGACCAGGATGTTGGGCGCGCGGCAGCAGCCTGTTGCCCTTGACTCTTTGCCTTGCCCCGGGCTTGCTGGGCGGCCCAATGAACGAACCGCTTCGCAGCCCACGTGTGATGTTTATTTTTGTGTGTGCGTGTTTGTAATGTATGTTTTTGTTTGTTTGTTTGTCTGTCTGTCTGTTTGGTTGGTTGGTTGGTTTGTTTGGTTGGTTGGTTGGTTGGTTGTTTGGTTGTTTATGTGTTTGTTTTGTTTGTTTGTTTGTTTGTTTGTTTGTTTGTTTGGTTGGTTGGTTGTTTGTTTGTTTGTTTGTGTATGTGTATGTGTGTTTGTTTGATTGTTCCTGTGTTTGTGTTTGTGTTTGTGTATGTCATTATGTCTGCGTCTGTGTTTGTGGGATAGTGGCTTTGTTTGCTTGTGTTTGTGTAATAGAGTGTTTGTTTGTTTTTGTGTGTGTGTGTGTTTGTTTGTTTGCGTGTGTGTGTGTGTGGCTGTGTGTGTGTGGCTGTGTGTGTGTGTGTGGATGCGTGTGTGTGTGTGGGTTTGTGTGTGTGTGTGTGGGTGTGTGTGTGTGTGTCTGTGTCTGTGTCTGTGTCTGTGTCTGTGTCTGTGTCTGTGTCTGTGTCTGTGTCTGCGTCTGTGTCTGTGTCTGTGTCTGTGTTTGAGTTTGTGTCCGTGTGTGTGCTTGTGTTTGTCTTGGGTGACGCAAGGATGAACAGCGTGTTGCTCTAAGACTTGATCAGCAATTGTACATAAAGTTAGCCGATCTCAGGAAGGATATCGCTGCTGTATAACAGATACATTGTTTGTTTAAAAAAGGAGAAAAAACACAATGCGATGTGACCGCAGGCTCCCCGAAGCAAGACAGAGAGAGAGCGTTCCCAAGACACGCTACGTTTGCACAACTCTTGTTTATGTAGCTGTGGCAACATTTGAGATGTCCGAACATTCGATGCTGTAGGTTATAATTCTAGGTTCTGTGTCAGAGTCTTTGCAGGCTTGACACAAAGACATCGTCATGAACCAATTTGGCCATTTTGGGGTCCATGATATTCATGTTCAGTGGATCCATTTACCTGTATAGTAGGCAATCAAGGGCTTGCCACCCCCTTTCAAAACCAAAGGGAAGATGGATCGAAGGGTTGCCATGGCTTCGCAACTGGGATCTGGGCGTATCACCACGGCACGTCCCGCAGGCTGGAGCTGCTGTGGCAGGGCCACGGCCGTGGCCTCAAGATCTTGCCATCGCCGGGGGGCAGTCGTGAAAGTCAAAAATTCCATCCCTTGCTGGTGGTCGCCTTTAAGGGGAACCCCCAGGTTCCGGGACTGTGAAGACCCACTCAGCGCTGCCAGGCGTTTCGGTATAGGTAGTCGAGGTGTTTTCCCTGCATGATGTACGGGCGAAGCGCCAGCACTTGGAATGGTAGTCCTGGGCTTTGTTTTGACATGGGTTGCCCCCCAAAAAGAGCGGTGTCCTCTCCAAGAGAAGCTTCCTCTAGTGGATTTCTGGGTTCGGGTGGAAGGGTAGGAAGGCACACGGATTCGGTTCAAGGCTATAGTGATGGTAGGCAACTTGTCGGCAAGCCGAAATCCTAGCGGCGAGCTCACCTCTGGATTTCCTTTTGGGCTCCTGGTTAGAGACAGTCGCCCCAACAATGGGTTTGCCCTTTGGTTTCCTTGAAAACCATTTCGAAAATGGTCAGTACCCTCCAAAACAACACATCCATTTGGGCACTGTGACCTGTTCCCAAAATGGGGAATGTGCTTGTCGGACGTTGCCCACCCCATTTTGAAGCTTCCAATATATGACCTTGCTGTGAACTGGCCTTACTGTGTCAGGTTTTGCGAACCACCCGCAGTTGTATGATGCTGGATGGAGATGGAAAGTCAGGCTTCAAGCGGCTCAACTGTGTGTGTGTGTGTTTGTGTGTTTGTAAGAGATTCAACAGGGCTCTTTACAAGATACGTTTTGCCCATTTGAAACATGGCTTTTTCCACCAAAATAAAGGGAAACCACCATTTACAAGGCAATGTTCAGGTGTATAATGTAAGGATCCCTGTTCAATCTGTCAGTTCGCAGTTTCAGGCAACGGTTCCTGTGAGCCGTGTACTTTCCGCCTTCTACTTTCCCATTGGCCAGGGGATTCGAGCCACATGCCGGAAGCTGAAAGCAATGGTACCTGGGCTGCAGCTGGTGCACGTTTTCTGCCACATCTTGCAAATGGAGAGTTGGAAGAACTCTGCACCAGATGCGAAGCAGTAGCAAGTAGCCCTTTCTCTTGATGCTTTTCAATGGAATCATGATGTGCGCAAAGTGGTGAAGCCTTGGGCGTAGGTCGCAAAACCGCTACTCAGTTCTCTAAATGTCAGGTGAAGGCGAACGTGCCCGGCGACTGCCGACTGCCGGGTGGGTTTCCTCCGGGTCCGCTTGTGGCTTGAAGACATGGGATGGTTGGGTCAAATTTGGGAAGTCCTTGGTTTTTTTTTGGCAGGGAGCATACGTTTGGCCACTTGTTAGGTTAAATGAGTCAAAATCAATCTGCAGGTATTAAAATGGTCCACCCAGAACCATGTAAAGAAATTAAGAAGGCGGCCGCACCCATTTTATGGCTGGGATTGTCCCTTACTATTCTTCACTTACCCGAGCTTTGATTGTGACTCAAATGGGGTCATGTTGCCAACCATAAACGGATCATGGAAACATCCATCCACTTCCAAAGTTGTTTGGCAAGGTGAAGGCAACGGAAGAATTGGCCATTATTTCATCATTTGTCCATACATGTGTTCTTTTGTGGGTATAGGGCGCTCACATGTTGCCAATTAGTGTGGAGTCTTAGATGAAATAGTTGGAAGGTTCATTCAGCTGTCCCTTCTGAGAACAAACATGCGAAAGCATCCTTGAACCATCATCAGCGTACCTACACTTCCATTTGCTTAAGGTGCATTTGTTCCACCTTAGGGTGCGCCAGCCGCCCACGTTCGGCACTCGGCTTAGGCCATGCGGAGGCAGCTACCAATGGGTCCAAGGAGAGGGTCCGAGGATGTCCTAAGATCTGTTGCTTGTTTGGGAATCGCATTGTATGTCCTGGTTTCTGCTTTAGCTTGCAGAGTGAAGAAGTTGAAAGTTTGGCCAGTCGCGGCTAGTCCCCTCACCAGTCACAAGATATCAGTTTGGGAGTGAAAGGAAGCCAGAAGCCGTTCATCTCTTACTTGGAAGGGGTTTTCGGGCTTAATCCATGACAGCATCGCGGTTTCTGGGTGCATCGCTGACGCACAGAGAAAGGCTCAGGGAACAGGGGTCGGTGAACGCATTCCTGATTGCCGGTGCACATTGTGCATGAGCTAGAAGGGGACTTCCTGAACAATAGGAAGCCATAAGGGACCCATGCCTGGGAGGAAACACAGGCGCATCAAAATCCACCCAAGCCGGACTAAACAAGTGTGGAAGGCACAGCTCCCGTCCAACGCAATCTGAGCAACGTCTAAACCACGTTGTACATGTTTAACAAGGGCTATGTCATGTCGATCATTATTGAATATGATTGACGTGTTGCGTTGCTTTCCTTCTTTAATGTGTGATGCTCTGCTGCAGGTCAGGGCTGATGCTGGGGATGCTGGAGTCGCAATACTTGTTGGTGGTGCTTGTAGTGCTTGTGCATGGGTCTGTCACCACCTTCTTGCTTTCCTTGAACTACAGCGTGATTCCTGGCTTGTCCGCCCAAGTTTCTGGCAGGGGAAACCTTCTTGGCTTCTGGCTCCGAGGCCTGTTCTCTCTAATGCGGATGGAGCGCCAGAGCGTCCAGATGTTCAAGTCGTGAGTTGGCGCAAGCTGGTCAAACGACTTCTGTATGCACAGTGCTTCTATTTCGGGGGTGAGCTTCCGGCTCTGAGTTACGTGTCCTCGAGACGAGGTACGGGCCATGGGTTGCCGGACACGTGCCGGCGTGGGGGGTTGAAGGCATATCGGCCTGGTGCAGGCTGCCATGGTTGCCTTCTTCATGACTTGTTTCACCTCTTTTCGTTCTTCCCACATGGTTGTCGTTAGGACACATTTTACATTTCTTGCTTATTGTGGTTTAGAGGAGAATCCCCTTTTAACTGCTAACATTTAAATGTTTGCTCCCCTTTCAACGTCAACCAAGCCCAGTTGGCTCCCTAAACTGAACAATCCAAAATGGTTTCCACGATAGCAAGTTGGCAACTGTGTCAAGAGTGCGGAGCTTGCAGGAACAAAATGGCAACGCCAAGCATCACAAGGACAAAGGCCCAGCTGAGACGCTTTGGGTTTTGGAGCTGGCAACGCCCCGCTTGGTAGTATTGTTGGAGCAGGTGACATCAGCAGAAATAGAGACACACATTTGCTAGCAAGTCCCACCCTTAAGACTGTTTTTAGTCTAGTTCTGCGAGCATGGGACAAAGTCAAATGTTTTGGGTTCCTGGAAAAGTTGGGTGGCCCCTCCCGTGTCCTCCCCAGACCACCCGGCGATTTCCAATATGATTCTCAGGTACTTGTGTTTTGTTGCGCAGAGGTTGGGAGGAGTTCCACTTTCCTGCTTCGACAATGGTTTGGCGCCGCGTAAACAGACAGCTGACACCACCAGTGCAGCCGGTCTCGTGAAGTGTTGGGCCTATCGTTCGGCCGGAGAAGCGCCGAGCAGCGCGGAAGTTACGATTGCTTGCTGCTGTTTTCGCGATGTTCTTCAAGGCCTAGCAGATAGACTCCCTCTTTCACAAAGAATCACGAAGAAATGCTCATTGTTCATTCAAGTAAACATATCATAAATAGCGAAGGGAACAAATGATTGTTGACTTCGCACAATCCGCCGGTCTTCTTCGGTTGACCAGAAAAAGAAAAAACTGTTGTTTGCTTGACTTGGCGGTGCTTCGCTTTCCCCAGATTGTTTTCTCTTGCTTGCTTGTTTGCTGGCTGGCTGGCTGGCTAGCTGGCTGGCTTGCCCTGGCGAGCTCCAGCTTTGTCTGCTTGCATTGGTTGGTTTGATTGTTTGCTTACTTATTAGCAGCCTGTACAATTCCTTTTGCCAGGTGAAGCCCGCTGACCGTTTTTTGCCTGCATGGCCTTTTTTCCCGATGTCACTCGCGTACATGCGAGCGGCAGCGGCCCGTATGACACCCGTATTTTCCAAGAACACGTGCGGGGGACCAACGTTTGAAACTAGACGGCATGTGACCACGTTGTTGGAGTCAAGGCCGTGCAATATGAGGGGCTAACCAAATCTACTCCTAGAATTGTGACTAAGTTCAGTTGCATAGTGCCCCAAAACTCACAAACTTCTTGCTAAAATAATTACTTCCGTGTTTCCAATGGTTGGCTACAAGCGTCAGTCATAAATTTACCTCCTCGTATTTGCCGTTTCCTTTGCGCTTGCACGCGCGTGCTCGCGCGCGCAAGCCGTGCCAGACGCTGCGCAGCTGGTGCCACTGGGCGTGGCGGAGCGCGTGGGCAGTTGGCTCGCCTGGTACAGGCGAAGTGGAGGGCGAAGTGCAGTGATCGGAGGTTGAACGAGGGCGTGCCTGATGTGTTTTTTTTAGAGGCCCCCCCTGAAATTTCGACGCATATAATTATATTATATATATATATATATTATAATCAATATTATATATATATATATATGTATATTATATATATATATATATATGTGTCTTAGTTCCAGGAAGTGGTCGCGGGTGGCGGACTGCTACGCTGAACTGCCGCCTCGGGTCTGGGAAGCTTGCGAAGCCGCAGGTCCATCGCGGGCTACCTCACAGTGGCAGAGTTGGAGATGCTCCCCTACATATGTCCGAGGGCCAAGGTAGAGCACCGGCAAAAGAAAAATAAAGCTTTTGCAAGGGTCTGAAATTATCCTTCTTTGGGCACTTGGCTACCGACATTGCTCTTTAGGGGGATGCTATGTCAGCTTTGAGAGTAGCTTGAGTCACATGGAGACGACAACTCTACGTGTCATCGGACTGAGTCAAGGAACATGCTTCGACCAGACGTGCACGGAACCCACTCTGATCTTGGAAAGGCCAGCTTACTTTTTGTGACTCAATGTGGAAGTTTGTTTTTGTGATTGTTCAAGTTGGACTTGACATTCCATTTGATTTAGGCGCCTTTCTTTTGAGATGTTGTTTTGAGTTGTCATTTGATTCATTTTTGTCGGAGCTTCATTTTCAGATGTTGACTTAAGTTTCCAATTGATCTAGTATTGCTGGAGCCCCTTTTGAGATGTCGGTTGGGCCATATTGATTTTGGCGGACCCGTACTGTTTGAATTCGGGGGCTGGGCACTGTGGAGTATCACGCGTGATCTTGTCAAGCCATCACTTTTGGGTCACATCTAATGAAGAACTTGTGCTTCAAACAGACGCTGTTCTGTTTTGCATTAGTTCGCAGAATGGCTGCTGCTGGGGGGCTGTGGCTTAACGACTTGGTTTCTTGCTTCCACGCTGACATCAGTCCCTGCACATACACATATGGTGGCCAACCAGATTGCTGGCATCCAGAGGGTGTGTTGGTTTGTTGCTTTTGCCTTAGGTCTGCTGCTGGTTGATGGGTCAGCGGCCCAACGTCGATGGAATTCACCGGTGCAGCACTTGAGCGAGAGACCCGCTAAAAGCGCATTGTGTTGTTTGGCAGCCTGTTTGTTTTGGGGATTGTTGTTGTTTGAATGTCTGCCGTTTTGAGAACGTCCATGCTGACTCATGCAGATATGCGCATACACACATATATAAAAATACATGGTAACCCCCCCCCTCTCCTCCAAAAGAAATGGCTTCCCTTGCGTAAAAGAATGCGAAACACAGGTAAACCTAGCAAATCTGGATCTCGGGGAAGGGGGAGAACCACAGCATAAATGGTAGAAACATGGATCTACCCGGCTTCCACTGAGCAACATGACAGTTGGGGCCATGCTCTGCATCGGAAAAACCCACTGCATCCACCTCCTGCGGTCATAGATGACCGCGATGCAAGATAATGGATGAACATCCTGAGGTTGTGAACGATGAGTGCCTCCCGACATCTTGAATTTCCAAGGTCTATTTCCGAGACTCGCATTTGCGGATTCCCAGGGCACACCCCTGGGCTTTTGCGTGTGCGGGGATTTTGTGATCTGCTTTGTGTATTTCGTTGCCTTGGGTCCGAGTGAGTTGCCCAAAATCACAAGTTATCCGACGCAGCCGAGCGGAACACTTGTGCGACTGGCCACTGTTGATTGTGTTTGGTGATTGCTTGCTCCTTGGTTGAAACAAATCAAAGTTCCCAACGCGAAATATCCTGGTTTTGTTTTCAATGGCGAAGGGAGTTAGTGGCACCGCGGCGCGGATCTTTGGAACCGCACTGGACAAGCAGTCCATGCCATGCAGCCTTTTGTTGTGAAGTTTCTTAGATGTAGGCCAGCGATGGGGCAATTGCTAGTTCTACACACAAAAGGTGCGTGTCCGCTCGCTTGCAAAATGCCTATATCTGACACCATCTGCATTGATCTGTCTTCTCACAGACGCAGGAAGGCAAACTGTCCAAGATCCTCAGCTCTCTGCAATGATTTGTCTACTGATGTCACAAAGAAATCTGACCAAGAAGCAAACAACAGTGGAAAACGTATGATTTGAAGGCAGGGGTAGACTATATATCAGTAGATACGTGCGTAATATGGATCTGAATATATATATATACACATGTATATACATATACATATATATATATATATATATATACAATATATACATGTACAATATATACATATATATATACATACTATGTACGTACGCCTGAGGTCCTGGTCGCAGAGCGATTTTACTGGGTCACTTTGGAACCGACAGGATGACCTGGGTCTTCAATTTTTGAAACCGTCCATTTGGGTATTTCTTTGTTTTGAGGGCGGTTGGTTTTAACAGGAAGGCAAAGCCATGTTGGGGGCCCAAATCCTGGAGCCGAACACACCCGCGCGGCGGTGTTTTTCTTGGGTGTCTTTGTTTTTTTGCTTGCAAGGGAGACCACACAACCGGATCCTTGAGGGCACTGAGAAACAGTTTGGAGCGGTCCATGTTGAGATTCCCATTTTTTTCGCCCGTTTTTGGGAATGCCGGTTCGTCTGAAGCGCCCGGGTCTCAACCATTGCGTTTCGGACACTTGGGATTTCGGACGCGGGAAGAAGCAGTTGTTGGGGGGTGCTGGAATGGGTGTCGATTTTGTTTGAAACACAACCACACAAAGAATGATGGTGGTGTTCCTTTGGCTTCCCCTCAAAACCCCCACAAAAGGTTTCCCTCAAAAGAAGACACACTATGAGCCGCTGATTTTAGTCACTTCTAGGGGCTTGGACCATATTGGTGGCAAAGAACAACATCTTTCTGGCCAATCCACTGGGGAAGTGTTCAGTCGAATTCTCCTACAGTTGTGACTAAATGCTGTTGAGTACCCCAACTCCTCAAGTCTAATCGCTTAGCCCCTTGTACATGGTTGTTGTTGGGAAACAATTTTCATTTTTGCTGATTGTGGTTTAGTAAAACAGGAAATCCCCACTTAACTGCTAACATGTTTTTTTGTTGCTCCTCTTCCCAACGTCCACCAAGTATATGTCGATGGTCACGTTGGGGGCTCCCTCGTTTGGACTCGGCTGGCCGGATGTTTGTGAGGGCCGCGACCGGCCTCGAGAACCTCGCCCACACGCTGCGGCCCCTGGGCATCTTAGGCGCGAGAGTTTGGTTGACACAATGCCCGGATGAAGCGTGAGCTATTGATTTCTGCCATGGTGATGCTGGACAAGCGAGGAGAAAAACCGTACACATGCCTTTGACAGTGCTTCCAGTTCCCAGTAGAGTAGGTGACCAAGGGAAACCATGATGTAAAACCTAGGAAGAAACTCGAGGGGTTAGCTACTACAGTATCTTTCCTGGAAGCACTCGGATAGAAATGGGTGTGAATTGTCATGAGGGGCCCCTCTGGTGGACATCATGACATCATGAAGTGAGAGGTTTATGTCCACCAACTGAGGTTACTACGTCATCCCTTCAAACCTTTTCGCGCGCCTCGCGCTAAGCGCCAGGCGCCGCGGCCTGGCTGTGCCATCGCGCCCCGCGGTGGGCGGTGCTCATTTGGGCGCACGCGGGGCGCAAGCGAGCCATGGCCCGCGGGGCCGATGGCTTCGCCTGGGTCTTTTGGCCGAGCCCTCGGCCCAAGGATTGGCTGAAACCAACGGACACCTTCGTCCCCAACCAAATGGCGTGCGCCCAGGAGCGGAACGGATCTTAGTGATTCCTTTGATTGTTTCTTTGATATGTGTGTTTGTTTTGTTTGATGATGATGATCATGATCATAACGATGATGATGACGACGATGTGATCATGGTGGTGATGATGATGATGATTACAATGATGATGATGATGATGATTATGATGATGATGATGATGATGATGATGATGATGATGATGATGATGATGATGATGATGATGATGATGATGATGATGATGGTGATGGTGATGGTGATGGTGATGGTGATGGTGATGGTGATGATCATGATGATGATCATGATGATTATCATGATGATGACGATGATGATGATGATGATGGGTATTTTTATGTCGCATTCATGTGGTCCCACCAGGATTCGGACCTCCCGCATGCTGAGCGGGCCTGCCTCCATGACTTTAAAAGACCATTGTAAGAGAGGGGCTTAAAGAATATGTTTGAAGAAAGGGTGGATGATGCACAACTGGGCGCTCCTTAGTTACCTTGGATGCGTGTCAAAACCCGGGACCTCATCCCAGTTGTGAATGCCAATTGCTTGTTGGATAGCCATGTTCTTTGCGGTTAAAAAGAACCCCTGCGACAGTCTTTTACCGATCTGTAATGGGGTTGCCTTAAAAGGTGTATGCGTGTGTCTTTTTAGGGGATGCCCCAAAATGGCGCAATGGTTCCTTTTGGTTTTCCTTTAAACTCAAAAGGGGGGGTGCCCATTGAAAAAAACCAAAACATATAACCGGGGTACCAGTGCCATTTTGGGTCTTCTTGGACACACGGCCCAAACCTGACTCAGGCTAGGCTTCCCTGGCTTCGCAGACTCCTGGAGCCTTGGACTTCCTTCGGTTTCACGGGCGGAAGTCTACCTGACCGAATGATCCTGTCACAAAAGTTGGGGACTAACAATAGGGGGTGTAGATGAACCCCTCAAAAGAGTCATGGGGAGTTCAGGTGTTGTCAAGATTCAGATCGTTCCATCTCATAACTTGAAATCTTGTTTTGGAGCAGGTTGCGAGGACAACAACTGGAAATACCTAGGGTTTCTAGAGTTGACACATGTTGACACATGACAGCTAGGATTTTGTTGGGTTTCCCAGCGGCTTGACCAAGCCAAGTAGTTTACGTTCTGCTCTTCTTTGCCTGTGATCAAGTACCCACCTGTCAAATGGGCGAAACCCTTTTGACGAGTTTTTCACGGGTCCTCGAGCTGCAGAGCCCAAACATTATTTTCAACCATCCTTCCTTTCCGGAACCGTCGCTTTGGTCGGCTGTTTCCAACCGGGAGTTTTTTGCCGGTTTGAAAAGATGTGAATTGAGTTCAGAATGGTTAGCTTCCACTTGGTGGTCTCCAGCCAAATCCGGTTCCTTAGGCTTTTAGTTTTTGGATTCGACCTGTTTTTACTCGGTTGGGTTTCCGTATGTAACCCACTCAAAGTGATTTGCGCGTTTAGTAAGAGGATCAGAAAACAAACGGACCACTTGTAGCAGGGCATCAAAATCACGGACCAGGACCCAGGGCATCAGAAAAAAAGCGCACCAGGACCATTTTTAGCAGGGGATCAGAAAAAAGAAGCGGACCAAGAACAATTTGTATTGAGAAAAGATCAGAAAAGATCAGGAAAACACAAAACATGGACCGCTGTTCAACCCGAACAGAAAAAAAAAAAGAGGACCGCCCCATCTCCGCTGCAGCCGCTGCACGCCGATGCACTCGAGGAGCAGCAGCTTGTGGCACGCCTGGCAGGGCGAGAGTCGCCGCGGCTTCTGGAAGGCACCGAGCGTCGAATTTTGGGTTTGAAGCGAACCTGTAACAAGGGTTGGCCTTTGAAGGGGGACGCACTTTATCAGGGTTTGGGTTCATTGAACAGTTGTTTTTGTTGTTTCCCCAAACCAGCCAAACTAGCCCAAAACTCACTTCCTTGAAGCAACCCTACAGCCACTGCTAAACCAGCCGCACACCTAGCGCCAATCGGCTCCACGCCAACCCAAACTGACTCAACTTCAACTTTTAAGCTCTCCAAACAGCATCCCGCATATCAGCAGTTTTCCGAGCCTGAATAAACCCCAAGCAAACCCAAGACTCGCCCTCATTAAGACCTCAGCAAGCCCAACACTCATCGGAAGCCAGCCCCGAGCAACTCTGAACTGCCACCAAATCAAAGCCAATAGGCAGCCCTAGTCCGAGTGAGGCCGGGGATGCTGGGGATGCGGCCACCAACCCAGCCCCCAGCCTGGCCACTCAGGCCTCCAAAGAATTCCGTCTGTTGCCCCCGACCTGAGAGCGAAGCAAGGGTTCTCAGCCAACCTATTTAGAGCCACAAGAAGGAGGCCTGTGCTGAGCCGGGGCTAGTAAAAAGCCGGGGCTAGCAAAACAAAAACACCTCAACCGTCGTTGGCAGGGTTACGGCCTTCGCGCCAACCAACTTGAAAGAGGTGCGCAGGGAAGGGACTCGGGAGAAACATATTGCTTGAGGGTGCCCTGTTGTTCTTGTTTCAAAGGGAAGCCAAAAGGACACCAATTGGGGTTTCTCATTTTATGACACCCATGTCTCAGGCATTGAATGGCATCCAAGAGGAGCTCCAGCGCAAGGGCAAGGCGCGGTTTGTCGACTTGCTTCCCACTATGAATCGGCGGCCCTTTCTCCTTTCTGGTCGTCGTTCGCCCCTGGCCATCTTTTCATTGATGTCATGACAGAACGAGAGCTTCTTGGCAGGCATTTCAGTGCAGTGGTTGGTTGGTTGCTGGTTGCTTGGTGGTTGACACGTTGGTTTAGACATGGCCTGTTTAGTCTTCAAGATACTTTGAAGTGTCTTGAGCTTGGCCATAAGTTCATGTCTGTTCTCCCTGCTTGAAAATCTTTGCGGCGACAAGTATTGCGTGGTTCAGATTTGGGTGTTTCTGATAATTGGGGACCCCTTCAGATAGGTGGTTTCCATTTGGCGTCCAATAAACAGCCAGAAAGGGTCCGATTCCTGTTTTGAGGCACACTCATTTGAAGAAGAAACCAAACATCATCTTGTCCTTACGGGAATGTGACTGGGTTTCGGGCAGACGGGCTGGTTCCTAAGGTTTGGTCAACGCTCAGGCAACCCGTGCATCGGTTTGGGTTTGGAGGTGGATGTGAAGGTTGAAAAATAGCTTGCAACCTCCAAACCACCAATCCAAACCACCAATTGGAAGCTGAAACGCAGTCTTCTCAGAAGACTCCACATACTCAGATTTGGGCGTCAAACGCCTTTGTAGGGGGTTCCATGTTCATTGGTGATGGTGTCGGCGTGTCTTTCTTTTTGAGGACACGCAAACTGATGGTGTTTGGCTTTAGTTGTGCTTCTAAAGACCGGCCTCCAAAAGAAAAGTCAATTTGCGTTACCCTCCCACCAATCAACATGCAGCCTGACGTTCGAGGTCCCTCTAAAAGGAAAATGGTCCAAACCAGGACCCCCCGAACGAAGAACGGTTCCATCTTCATTGGTGGGTCTAGGGGTTGATTCCTCTTCCATTCTTTTCAAGCATCCTTCTTTTCAAAACCGGAGCCGTTTTCCCTGGGTTTCAAGGGATATTTTCTAGAAAGATTTGGATCCCTGGGTTCAGAATGGACATGGAAGCTACCCTTAGAGCAGTTGGACGGAAATCCCCCAAACAAAATCAAATCTCGACCCGAATGGACATTGAAGGTACCCCTGTAGGCTACATCCCAACTCCCTCCCCGCGGTTTCTGAAACGATCTCTCCGCGGGAGGACTCGGAGGAGTTGGTGCGGTGCCATCACTGCTGGTTCTGGGTGCCAGAGTCGAGCAGTGGGGCAGCCGAGCTCCAGCCGGGTATGGGAAACCCAAAAGACGAAAAGGAAGCCTGGATTTTTAAGAAGCCTACTACTGTGGATATATTTTTTCGCCACTTTGAAACCACGGGACACCATGTGCCGGGTTTCCGTATGGGAAACCGAAAACACAAAAAGGAAGCTTGGATTTCCAAGAAGGCTATGACTGTGGATAAAAAATATATCGCCACTTTGGAACCACGAAAACAACCATTGCTTGTTGGTATTGTTTACAGGGGAATCATCTTTCCCTTCTTAGTTGGTGCGAAATGGATCCCGCAACCATCCGAAGTATGAAGAGACTTTGCATGGCAACGGGTGAGGCTTCTTTGGGTTTCAGACAACTTTGGTTTGCAGACGGTGGCTGGTTGTTTTTGTAGCATGCCTCCAAATTCTGCGTTCCAGGTACTCGTACGTTCCGATGGGCAGGCTTTGGCAAGTGCGTTATTGGTGAAAGCCGCTGAGCAAACTGCCCCAGCGCTTCCAGTTACCAATATAGCAGGCAACCAAGTTGAACCATGATGCCAAACCCCGAGGTAAGAATCCTTGGTGTCTTACCATTGTGGTAACTGGAAGCCCTGGGTGCCCCAGTTCCGCAACAAGTTGCGCCAAACCCATCGGAAACACTTCAGCTCGGAACTGGCGCCACTCAAACTCAACGCGGCCCTATGAGCCATTTGTCTTCAAACTACGCATGTGTTTTGTCTTGTCTCATGTCCCATCCCCAAGCCGCAAAGGGGGAGCTTTTAACTTTTTTGGCTGGGAGCCCTCCTCATTGAATTTTCTGACTATACTTGACGGAGTTGTAAGCAGGCGTTTGGTATAATTAGCCAGGAAGCAACTCACATAGCGCAGTTTGGTTGGGACCCCGGCAATAATGATGCTGAGCCATGTTTCAATTGCACAGCTTGGCGTCATGTGCTTCACCGACTTCATGTCTTTTAGAACCACCTGCATGTACCCAGCTGAAAGGCATGGCCCTTATAGGCGGTTTGGCGTCAATGAGTTGCTTTCCCATGAAACATCAAAGCCACAAGAGCCCCAAAGGATACGACCCCGTTGTTCACTGGTTGGTTCGAAAAAAACACAAACAAAAAGCCTTGCTTCTCGCATTCCCAGACCAACCCAGTCGCGCGAAGAACACCGAACAACGTGGCGCTTAGGCACGACTTGGCGCCGCAAGATCTACTGCGAAGACTGCACTGAAGGCGAGCCTATGGAGGGAAACCGCTGTGACCTAAGCACAAGGCACTTGGCTTCAAGGGGTCAGGCGGGAATTTTATGGAAGCTCAGTGAAGCTTCTGAAACCCCTGTTGAGAGTAGTGTTCGGGAGGAAATATTGTTTTCAAAGTGAGGGATGAAGCAAAAAGAGGCTAGAGAGAGGTTAGACAGTTAGAGAGGTTATGGAAGCTCAGTCGGAGATGAAGTCACATTCTGCACACGGCTGAAATGTTGGTGCGTTTAAAACCTGCGGAAGAAAAGCCGACAAGTATGAAGTCTTCCAGAGGCAGTGAATGTGGAATTCAATGGCTTCCCACACCCTGTTGCTAGTCGGTCACAAGCCCCATGTAATATTATATGCACAGAAGAAGTCGTAATCAGGACATCTAGCGCAGGATTGAAAGAGCTTAGCAGCTATGAACGTTGACATGCGTTGTACTTCGGCCAAGGTTGAGTACCTGCGCTCTGAACACAGCATGGGCACATCTCGGCTGAGCCACTTGTTGCATGAGCTGCACCTCAAATCAACGGTAATTTACACAAATCGACATGCTCTACTGTGGGTTGCCCTGCTACCATTTTGTTGGGGAACTATCTGCAATTTCTTGTTGGGGAACCATCTGCATATTTTCACGAGGGCAATGTTGCTAGTGATCCCGCCCTAGCCAAGATCGTCTCTTTGCTTTTTCCAGGTTACCACGCTGTCTTTTCGCCACCATCCACGAGCCAGCAACTTAATTTCAAGGATTGAAAGATTCAGAAGCTGACTTCTTGAGTTTATTGGTTTGGACCATTTTGGTGGTAAAGATAAAGTTTTTGGGAGTTTGTCTTGGACCATCCACTTCATCGGAAGTCAGGCTTGAAGCGTTGGAAGCTCCCAACCCATGGCCCCTCAAGCGGACAAGCTTTCGGGTCGTGAGAGCCTACACCGAAGGATGGGCTCCGCCAGTTTGGTTGGAAAAAGCAAGGTTCCTGTGCAGCCCCAGGTTTGGAGCAAGTTGTTTTTGGTTTTGGAGTGGGCTAATTTCCATGGGCCAGGCTTTGTCTCTTTGGTGGTTTTTCCTGGTAACTCGTAGCTCTAAGTGTTCCGAAGGATTTTGAACAAATTAATTTGTTTTCCCTGCCTACAGACAGAAAGCGGTCTGTCTTTTTTGCGGGAACCATTTTTTTTCCGGTTGGCTTCGACGGGAAACCAAAAGGACAACTATTCATTTTTTTGGGGGTCCCACAATCAGACACACCCCCAAATGGCCATAGCCTGGTAGCTCTGCTCGAACTCCAGGCTGGGAGCAGTACAAGCAGCGTCGTTGCGAACAGCTGGGCGTTGACACGGTTTCCCCGGCCCCTCGGATCGAAACGGGCATGGGGAAATCGGAGAATGGCTAGATTAGGAAGCGGAGGGGGCTGTTGGATATGATTATTCTTGTTATTAGTATTATTAGGTATTGCTATTATTATTTTTGTTATTATTATACGCTTATTATGATTATCATTATTATTTGCTGTTTTATAATTATTATTATTATACTTTGATTTTGTATTATTATTATTATCATTTGTTTGTTTAATATTATTACTATTATTATTGTTAGTATTATAAATGATATTTTTGTTATCACTGTTATTTTTGTTCTTATTATTATCATCATTATGAATATCATTATTGTTATCAATATTATTGTTGTGACTATTTAGAATTATTACCATCATTATGATTATTAGTTATTATTTGGTTATTATCGTTAGAATTAGTATCATGACTGTTATTATCACTACTACTAGTTGTTTTATCATCATTATTAATTACTCAACTTTAATTACTGTTATTGTTGTCATTATTATATTTTATTGTTGTTATTACCGTTTGTTATTATTGCTATTATTATTATCATCATTATTATTATTGTTATTATTATTATTGTTATTATTATTATTAGTATTATTTGTTATTATTTGTTATTATTATTAATATTTTATTATTATTATTATTCATTATTATTATTAATATTATTATTATTATTATTCTTATTATTATGATGATTATTATTATTATTATCATTATTATTATCATCATCATTATTATCATTAGTATTTGAAACCAACACCTCATCCGAAGATCTTAATGTAACATTTACTAGTTTTAGACGTAGCTGACATACGGGGGAGGTCCTTCAGACAGGTGTGGGGAGCGTGGAAACCTTGAGGCCACTCGTTTGGACTCTTGTGAATGGCTTGCCAGAATCCAAAAGGAATCCAACTTCCCTGCTGCGCATCCAGGGGCAGCGGCCCCACCAGTGCCTCAACCCGGGTCGGGTTGGCACTTTCACCCATAAATCCAACCTGCTCAATGCAAATTGGCAAGAAATTCCTGCACAATATCCCTCACCATCCTCAGCTATGCCTTGGTAGGGCAAGCTACCATGTTCAGCCGCATAGAACTTCTCTACCAGGACCGGGCCATGTAAGGATCGACTACCGTGCTTTCATAAATACTAAGTCACTATGATGCAGTGCCTCTACATGCGAATACCTTGTTTCAAGTTTTGAACTGCAAAATTTGCAGACAAGTCTCATCAACTATTGCAGGGAGAGGAAAAAATGCACGCAGAGGGGGCGACATCACGCACAAAGCATTCGGGGGTTGAGTCCTTTTTTGCCACGGGTGAGCCATTCATTGCGCTGTCTCGCTGCGCAAGTGAGATTTGCTCTTGGCTGCGCAAGAGCAGGCTCCGGCGCTAAGCCTTCTTTTTGCCAATATTCTAGATAGAAGAAACATGGACAATTTTGTTTCCTTTCCATTCTCTTTGAATGACTGGGTGTGTCTCAACAAGTTCGTGAACCGTAAACTGCCTTAGTTTGAGGGACCCAGATTTGTGAACCGCAGATCGACCTTCGATAAGGCGCGACTCGCGCCGTCCGAGGATCCCACACCTGACGCCACCCCCACAGCCACGCCGCTGCCCACACCGCCGGCGACGCCGCCGGCGACGCCGCGCGCCGTTGGGGCCTTGGAGTCTGCGCGTCGATGGGATTTTTTTCCGACTTACCTCAAGGGAAACCAAAAGCGATGGATATGTGGAAAACATATCAAGGATCTATACCCAAGCCCATTGTGATGGCTTGCATGTGCAGAACTGGGTGGTGGGAGGTTTGGGTCTTTCACTTGTTGGAGTTGGGAGTGTTTTGTTTGCCGAGGCGACTAGCATGGCTTGGATCAGGAGGCAACTTGCCAATGTTGGATACGGCAAGTCGATCATGCAAGTTCAAAGCGTCGAGATCAACATTTTGCAGGGACATGTCCATTGCTCTGAAAAGGTCAGTGAACGATCATGCGTGCTTTCTTGGTCCTGTTGATTTTCCAGGCCTTGCCAAATCCCAAAGTGGGTATAAATACTTAGGTGGTTTCATGACGGCATTGGTTTCAGGTTTGTTGCTGCAACGTTCAATTCAGAACTTTGTGTCGGCTCTCGTCCTCCCAAGGGAACCAACCCGAACCAACCCGCTGGAAAAGGGTCTGCTTGAGGTGTTCACGTCTCATGGATCACTTCTCTCCGTGCCGGAAAACGTTTCCCGACCAATTCTTGTAGCGCGAAGTGAAATTGCGCAGTCATTTGCGAGGTTTCCATCGGCACCTGAAAAGCCAGAATCTTGATAACACGGAAGTCACAACTTGTAACACCCATCTTGCACGCTTGCCTTCAGACCTCCTTTCTGTACACCACTTGCTTCCTGATTGAATGGCTCTACGGAGCATGCACCGCCCCAGAGAAACCTGGTTGAATGAGCTATTATTGTTTCCGGGTTGATCCCACTGATACCCTTGTCACGGTGGTTGCCTTGTTTTCCCAAACAAATAACCGGCTCATATTTTTTTACGGCCCATAGCTTCACAGGTCGAGGCCGGGGAGATGCCCATGCAGGACGCTCCGCTGGGTGATTTCGGTGGAAGAAGTTGTTGCCGCCCCGTAACATGTGTTGTTTGTTCAGCGGAACGGTTCCACCCTTCAGCCCTCTTTCAGTTCGGAACTCACTCAAATTTGGAGTTCGTCAAGGCCTTCTAGTTTGGTGGGTTTGGAAGCTTCTCAGAATGGAAATCACCAGAAACGAGATGGTTCCATCCCTGGCGAATGCAAGACTAGTCACTGCGCAGGGATTGATTTTGTCCCCGGAGTAGCAATTCCGTTAGACTAGTGGGAAGATGCTTGGCAAAAAGTGCGAAGGACCTGGCCTGAAACCAGTGATTATTCTCTATGAATCAACCAGTAATATATCCCTGTCTTGTGGGGTGAGCTGTTGGCATGGGACGCCCGGGCATTCTATGTCACTGGCTTGGTTCAACAACCTGACTTCAAAAAACTGGTCGGTCTACAAAATCATAAGGTGGCCCTGACTTGCTCAAGATATCAAACCTCAAAATCACAAAAACCGTGCACCACCACAGTACCCCGGTCTCCTTTTAAACTGTCAATTTTAGACATGGAACCTTCCATTTTTCTTAAGACTATATGTGTTAATTATTTTATTTTCCCCTGTTGATTTTGAGATGGAGTCTTTTCTGGACATATGTTCGCATTTTGTCCAGAGGACTTATTCACAAATGGAAGGAACTCCCATGAGCTTTGCCCCATTGGAGACCTGTCGCCAGGAGCCGAAGCCGAAGGCCAAGACGAATGCCCTTTGGCCTTACGGTTTCTAACTGGAGTCATAGAGTCTTGATTGCTGTTGGGTTGGATCTTTGGACATTTTGGACTTTAGCTTTTCTGAGGAAAAGAAGGGTTTTCCATTGAACCCACAAAAGTTATCTTCTTTGCAGAAAGAGTCATCGATTTTATTTGCAGCGGGGGAGATTCACTGCAGGGGGCCAGGTCAGCTTAAAGCTTAAGCGCCCCCGGTAGGTGAAGGCTGAAGCCGGCTACGACCAAGATTGTTGACCATAAAATGCTGCTATGGCCCATACATTGGTGTTAGGTCTTGGTTCGCTTGGTGGTTCCCAGCCATCCAGTCGAATAGCTGTTTTTGGCTTTGTAGTTGGCTTAGTGCGGGTTCCATTTTAACCCGCTAAAAGTTATACTTTTAGCAGGGGAGCTGAGGACAGCCCAGAAAGGCGACTGTTTGACTTCACGCTCGTTTGGCCCAGACGTATCACAATAAGGATCATCCATTCGGTTGCGGTCAGAAAGGCACGTCTTTTCCCGCAGATTTGAACTTCCAAATTATTGCACCGGTTGCCAAACGAGCTGTCTTAGGTTGAAACCATCGAGTTTGCTGACTACGAGGCTGGCCTGGGGTTGCTTGGACGAACAAGAGACCTCTGAGATTTGTTCAAGGCCCGTGGTCAGATGGTAGTGCTGACTAATGGTTACATGTTGCATCTTCCGCGTTGAGGTCGCGGGATATTTTTGCGCGGGCCACCGCGCCGTTCAACGTTACGACGCAATGCGTAGCTCACCGTTGTGTTGGAAAAAAGGTAGACGTCAAGCGAAAAAGACCCAGGGAGCTGAATCCATTCCAACTATGGCGAGTAGCCACATCCACGTTCCCCGCCTGCCACATGTTGTTGGCTTCCGTTCCTGGGGCTTGGGGACCTTGGATTGGGGAAGCGGATTCCTCTAGCGGATCAAGGTGCAAGCCCGGCATCGGCTCAGAAAGGTCATATCGTTTATTGCGCGTGATCCCCCCAGCCTCGCTATGAAGATTCCGGTGTTTGGGTTTGCGAGGATGAGGTGTTGCTCGCTCTAAACAGTGGCTCCATGTCACACTGAGCATGGATGAGTTGCGCGACTGTCAGTGAGTGCGGGCTCAGTAACCGCATGGACATGGAGAGATCTCGAAGCTGGGAGACCACAAGAAAGTCTCGCGAGACTTTCCCACAGTTTCAACGGGGTTTTGAGGTTCCTTGTGTTTTGTTTCCCCGTTGTGACGTTTTCATAGGTCACCTTTGGGGCCCCTGTAAAGTGAGGCCCCATGGAATCAAGTGGCCTCAAACACGGATCCATAAATGAGTGTGACTGTCGTTCGGCGGCATGGTGGGAACGCCCTGAAACGCCGCTCTGAGCCCCTCCTTGGTACACTTTCCCCCATGTCATGTCGACCCAGGATTAATAAACCCGTGATTAGGGGGTGTTCCCTCCAAAAGTGGTCTGAATCCCCACTAAAAGGGGACACCCCCCTATTAATCAACCAGGGTTTGTTAATCCGGGGTTAACATTAGGCACATTGAATGTTGACCCCAAACCCCAGTTTATTACTTTTGGGGGTGGGGGCCCCTCTAAAAGTGGTATGATTCCAACCACATTTCACCCAGCGAAAAGCACCCCCCCCTGTCAATAAACTGGTTGCTCATTTGGGGTCAACAATTGTGCGGTGTGACTTTGATAGGTCCTGCCAAACGCCCAACACTGTTATCTCAGGTCTCTCCGCTTGTACCAATGGCTGTTTGTCCAAGGGAGCTCTCCAGATTGGCTTGATGCTGCCTCCCTTTTGGAAAAGCTCAACCAAACTGGCTTGATAGAGATGACACATTCAATCCCAGATGGTGAATAGGGAAGCCCTGGAATAGGATTTTAGATTTCCCGTTGCTGCTCCATCCAAAAGGGGATGTCCGGTTCTGTTCCTCGCTCGTATGTGTGTCTTTCTTTGGAGGACCCCCTTCTTTTGAGAGGATGCCCAGTTCTCGCCACCGCCCGTGTGGGTGTGTCGAAGGGGACACGGCACATGAGCTCCTGTTTTCTGTTGGTTTCCCTTCAAACAAATCCCAAAACAGGTGCCAACTCAAAAAGCACGAAGCCATGTGGCTGCCCTGCCTTGTTTGCCAGGTGAGTCTTGCCCTGCGCAATTCCCGTCGTAGCCCTGGCAGAACGGAGTCCCGGAGGGTGGCCAACTAAGATCGGACAGAGTGCGCCGACTACGCTTTCATGACACCGAAGCCACTAGCAACGAGAAGCATCTACCTGGAGTCTCGAAGACCCTTTACAAACAAAGGCATGACCCTTCATTTTTTTTAGATGGGCCCACGTTTTGGCAAGGGTAATGGAAACTCCGGGTACCTATGACAGGCCCTGTTACTGTTTCTATTTCCAAATATTTTTTGGTGTGGTGAAGATACAGCCACTAATATGAATGCTCTGAGGCCCCCCCAATAGTGGCCCCCCAGTCCCAATAGGGGCTAATAGCGATTAATAAGGCCTATTAGGGGTTAATAGGGTTCCTCTTGCTTTGGGGGGTCCTGTCTTTGGGGGGGCTCCTGACAAACATAGGACCATTGTTTTGCTGGTTAGGAGTTATCAAAGTCGGAAACTGGGGTTGTGTTCCTTTAATCTACCACCAAAGTGACTTCGATATGTAATTTGCAAAAAATGGGGTGAGCGATAATTCCGTTCCGCTGCTTCTGGCGCACCGATGTTGCGATGTGTCTCCGATGCCTGAGGTGCGGTGAATGAGACTTCTGCTTCTTCGAGTCGAATGCAGGCAATGGGGGAGATAGGCTTTCCCGTCAATCTGGGTCAGTGCAAGAGGTTTCTTGCGGGGAAGCTTGATTTAAGGCAGTGCTGAACAAAATTAATGCAGGCTGTCGATCGACTTGATGGTTCTCAAAGCGAGCTGCACCCGCGTTTGTGACAACGAACATAACGGTCCGGCCATCCCAATCCCTTACCCGAGACCACAAGACACCTGGAGGGCCATCGAGTGCTTTTCAGCCTCGAGTACGTCAGGTTCAAAACTAAGGCCGGAGCGTTTGTTGTTGGGCGGGACCAACAAATGACTGGCTCTCACTGAAACAGGCGAGCCTGTGTTTGCGGGGTTAGGCGTCAGTATAATTCTGTTGCCTGGTGAATTCCCGGAAAGGATCCCTGGCTTCGACATATATATATATATAAGATACATGTGTCAGGTGCTTCGCGAACATTGAACGCCCGAACAGTGGAAAAAAAAACAAAAACGTGTAGCATGCTGGCAGAGCAAGTGTTCATGTTTGACACATCTACCCATAAAATATATCTATAACCGATCACTGTTCACATGTCTTGAATTGTTTCTCAACGCGAAACTAGGAGATAGCAATATCTTTGGGTTCATGGCTGGATCTGGCCCGCATGCATCTGAGACTATCTTGCGGCCCCGGGGACCCGTTCGAAGTTCGTAGCAGTGATCCTGGCAACAAAAGAAACCCAAACTAAAAGCTGAACAGGGTTGTTTTGTTGTTCAAAGGGTTTCTTTTGATCTTAAGTACACAGTTCAACTGTTCAATAGTTTGTGCTACCCTTTTGTTCAGTAGAAACCCTGTGAACAGTTGAACTAACCCTGGCACTAAAACAGTTGGTATGCAAAATACAAGCAACCGGTTTGGGGCCGACCAGTGGCACTCAAACGAAAAGGGGAGTGTGTGCGTGTGTGTGTGTGTGTGTGTGTTTTTTTTTGTTTTTTTCTTTTTTCCGTTGCGCTGCTTCGAATGTCATGATGTGTTTGCCGCACCGCCTTAGCCGTTTGGCCTAGTGCTCAGATGAAGCGCCACATGAAGCGCCCCATGAGGCGGCTTAGATGCTAGACAGCACCAAATCCCAACCCACGCCACAGCGGAGAGGCCCCATATATCAGAGCTTTCGTCCCCAGAGCTAACGCGCTGTCCAACAATGACCATGGCCGCAGCGGGCTTAGATTCAGGGGAGCATGAGGACACCGTCGGACAGCCGCTAGACATCTTGTCTCCTCGCATGTGCCTTTCGGGTTGGAAAATATGTGCCTTTATGCGTCTCCCTTCGGGTAGGATCCAGAAATGGCCAGTCTGTGGGAGCATAGACTTTGCTGCGAGCAGGTTGCAGCTGCATTATTTTAGCCTAGCGAGATGTTGCATTTGCTGATTTGGGGTGCAGGGGGATGTTCAGCAGTTGGTCACTGAAAGGGCAGGGATATGCTAGTCTTGTTTCATGGCAAAGGAAGCCTGTTAGTTGGGTAAACTGGTGTCCCCACGTCACCGCATGGCTCCATGCTGATTGGTGCAATCTGGTGTGTGGACGCGGGGGCAAAGTCATACCATTTCAGATAGATTCGAACCTCTCCATGTGCACGACCACCCGATGGCCTCCGACAAGCAGGGGGGGCTGTTCTCACCTCCCACCTACAATGCCGACGGAGTCCGTTGAAGATTATAGTCCTCCGAAGGCCTTTAGTCAGGCTCCATGTTACTTCTTGGCTGCTCGATTTGCCAAGTAAGTGGATAGTGACCTAAATGATGTCCTACGTACTTACAAGTAGGCTAACTCCACTTGGGCGACTCACAAGTAGGTTACAACCTAGCTTAGTAACCAATTACTAGCTTGGCCGAACTCCCAAGCAGTAGTAGTTGGTGTACGGGTAGTGCTTTTCGGAGATTGCGGTGGGATTTTACGGATGTGAGGGTTGTCAAGTGCCTAGGTGCTTCTGCCCGGGTGCAGCTGAAACTTCCCTTCATCCTTGGCCTATAGCACCCCTATGTTGCAGGTCGAGCCATAGTGACAAGCCAATCCCCAATGTTGATGTGACTTCCGTGCCTCTTGAGGCTGGGCAGGGATTCTTGTTGAAATGTAACACCTCCTGGAGATTCATTCTCCATGATTTTTCTGGTAGTTCTCGTCTTTAGCTCTTTTTCCTAAATACCGATGCTTTTTTCGTGAAGTCGCCCAAAACTACCAGGAAACCAAAACGCCAAGGAAAAGGCCGGAGAATGAATCTTCAGGCTCCCTAGAACTTCGGACCCAAGAACGCTTCGAACATCGAGGTCCAGAGCCCCTTCACAGATGACTCACAACTAATGACCGTGGTTGCCATTACACCAGCCTCGACCCCAAACAGCAAAAACATGACAGGTCTGTATAACCCAAAAAAGGCTTGTCTCCTTCATGTAAGGTGCGAAATTGAATAGCTTATGTGATCAACACATAGTTCCAATCAGTCTATGTATGTCCCTGTAGGAAGTCCCCTTTTTTGGGAAGAGGACACATCGGGTCCATCCATCTCCTTGACGCCGGGTAAAAACATCGATGTTGTTCATCGACTTCAAGGGGAAAATGCCATGTCAATAGCATGTTCGAGAGTGAAGGCCCCGGGGATTCGGGGTGAATCAACCTAACACCTGGCATTAGTCAAAGGAAGTTTCCAAGGATCTTTCGTAGCACGGACACTCAATGCACTTTTCCATCACCGCAGCATTTGGTGGCCGTCTCGCTACTCTGCTGAAACTTGCGCATCAGTCTCAGCAGCTTGCGGCCGAGACTGGACACATGCCATTGCTATCTTCTTCTCGAGCTCGGCTAAAGGTCCTGCCACAATCAAAAGCAACAGAGCACTTGCATAAGCTTGCAGACTGCGCCTTGTAGCGTTACGGCCGGGAGGACATCCTCGCCTAGCAACGCAGACAAACACGCCGCATCAAATTGGCAAGCGTCAGCAAAGGTGTCCGTTTGGCGCGCACCTCTGTCACCCGGCACAGCTCCAGAAAATCCTCAGTGTTTGAGCCGGCAGTAGCTTGGTCATCCAGGGCCTTCATCTCTGTCGTGTCCAGCGCGCCCGCGTGCTCCCAAGATGGCCAACGCGTGGCTTTGCTCCATGCGCCCAACGCCGCTCCACGCTGGAACAAGCTTGGTTTTGAACGCCAGCTCCAGGCCTGCTGAATCTCGGAACCGTGTGAGAACTTCGCCCCAACTTACCAATGCTGGCCGCGCAGTGGAGTTGGCGCTTATGGTTCGCAGATTGTTGCTCACATGTGTGGTGAACGACCGGCGGCCGTCATTCCAATGCACGCCGCTGGCAACAACTTCTGGGCCTTGCGTTCACTCAGCTCCAGCAGCACTGTAATTAACTGGCAAAACAGCAGCGTCCATATTGCGGAATATGTGGAAAACAAGGCTGGGAAATCTGTCTTCAACCCTTCTGTCAGGAGGCAACGAGATATGTCAAAGCTGCGACCTTGGCAAGGTGTGAAATGCTTCAGCAAAATGCGTTTGTCAGTGGGACTGGATTACATAGGTTGCAATGAGGAAAAAGCGTCGCAGGACCAGCTAGCGAAGCGAAAGACTGGATATGATTTTGGCCGGGCCACATGGCTATCCAACTGAGAAGGTGCTAAATACTGGCAACAAGATAGGAGGCAAGGTTTACAACAGCACTGCCAACAAGAAAGGGTGCTCGAACTACAGTGATGCTACCAAGAGGAGACTAGAAGATGGGTGGCCCGAAAGCATGAGCAGCGCACGGCGCCAAGTAATCCTTGCAAGTTCTCTGCGCAAGTTCCTCCGAGCAAGTTGTTGGCGCGAGTTCCGTTGAGCAAGTTCTCCGAGCAAGTTCTTGGCACAAATTATCTGAGCAAGTTCTCTCAGCAAGTTTCTCTGAACAAGTTTCAATGAGCAAGTTGTCTGAGCAAGCTCTCTGCGCGCAGCGCTTGCCGCAACACACTGCAACTTCCCAGTGCAACTCACATCTGCAACTTGCTAGCGCCACTTGCTTGTGCTACTTGCAGAGACTGGGAGACACAGGGAGACAAGTGGGAGAATCTGACCGCACACTGGGAGACAAGCGGGAAACACGACCCCGGAGCCAGCGTCACAGCATCTGGCCTCTGACCGCAGAGACTGAGAGACACAGGGAGACAAGCGGGAGACACGACCCCGCAGCCGGCGTCACAGCATCTGGCATCCGACCGCAGAGCCAGCGTCACAGCATCTGGCATCCAGATACAGGGAAACAAGGGGGAGACACAATCCGGAGCCAGCGTCACACACGACCCCAGAGCCAGCGCCGCAACAAACGGGAGATGGGAGACACAGGGAGACAAGCGGGAGACACAACCCCGAAGCCAGCGTCACAGCATCTGGCATCCAGACACAGGGAGACAAGCGGGAGACGCGACCCCGACGGAGCCAGCGTCGCAGCATCTGGCATCTGACCGCAGAGACTGGGAGACACAGGCAAGCGGGAGACACGACCCCGGAGCATCCGACTGCAGAAGCTGGGAGACGCAGAAAGACAAGCGGGAGACATGACCCCGGAGCGTCACAGCATCTGGCATCTGACCGCAGAGACTGCGAGACACAGGGGGACAAGCGGGAGATACGACCCAGACCGCGAAGACTGGGAGACGCAGGGAGACACGCGGGAGACGCGACCCGGAGCCAGCGTCACAGCATCTGGCATCTGATCGCAGAGACTGGGAGACAGGGAGACAAGCGGGAGACACGAAACTGGAGTCAGCGCCAACAGCATCTGGCATCTGACCGCAGAGACTGGGAGACGCAGGGAGACAAGCGGGAGACACGACCCCGGAGCCGGCGTCACAGCATTTGACCGCAGAGACTGGGAGACAAGCGGGAGACACGACCCTGCAGCCACCGTCACGGCATCTGGCATCTGACCGGAGAGACTGGGAGACAGGAAGACAAGCGGAAAACAGGACCCGGAACCTATACCTCAAGTTAGAACCCCAATGCTTCGCTGTTTCGGGAAAAACTCCAATGCAGAATTTGTCGTTTGACTCCTCTGTGCTTTAAATCCAAAACCAACCCTGAACCGAAACTAAACCAACCCTGAACCAACCCTAAACCGAAGACCAACCAAACCAACCCAAAACACCCTACTTGGCCCTTTTGTCCGGGCATCGAACTCGAGCCAAACCCGAAAAAGCGGCCGAGATGCTGGACGACGACGGCATGGGCAGCGCCTTGCGCCGCGCGCGCTTCCCCAACTCTGCGGAGGCCGCGCACCTTGGTTCAAGAAGGGAAGCGGTGGTGGGGGGGGGGGCTATGGTGGGGGGCGTCTTCAGATACCTCTCCATTTGCTGAAAAGAATATGTTTTGTTTTGTTTGTTTGTTCCCCTGTTGGTTTAAAGGGAATCTATCATTCCTGGATTGGATTGGATTGGATTGGAATCGGATTCAGATTTGAACCGCTTCTTGTTGCGGGCAAATTTGAAACCACCACCTGAGCCCCTAAACCAATCCAGACCACCAAGTAGGTGCTTCCATGTATTGAAAATAATATTTACGATTTTCTCTGGTTTTACAGGGAATCTAGCACTACTGGACATATTTTGTTTCCAGGGGGCTTAAGCAAATGGAAGACAAGAGGACCCCCAAATTGGTAATTTTCCTGTCTGCTTCCCTTTCAATCAAATCATCACTTCAAAGCCCATGTCATCTCCCTGACAAAGTTTGAAAGGTCGTAAGAAAGGCAAATGGCGCGTGAAGGCGAAGGCTGCCCCAAAATGGTTGGTTCCTTTTGTTTTTTTCTAGGCCAACCAAACGGGGACCTTACGAAAGCACACGCACACACACACACACACACACACACACACACCCTTACGTGGCAGATATATCTTTAAGCACCTGGTAGGCCCGTGAAATGGGGTAAGATCCTACAGAGATGCACCTCGGTTTCAGCATTTCACCATGTTCAAGCAGCAGGGGCCAAACGGCCAAACGATGAACCCTTTCTCCGCCAAAGGACGTTGAAGACCGTTGGCGCAGTCTTCTTCATCTCTGTTCTTGTTGGTTGCGAGTGTTGTGTGGGTGTGCTCGTGTTTGTTCTCTGTCGGCAGCTGTCTCGGGGGTGTTACGGTGCTGGTGTAGTGTTTGGTGTGCAATCAGATCAAGTTCAGGGTTTTGGCTGGTGCTGGAAGGCCATTGCCTGAGTCCTCCTTTGTTGGTGACGCTCATATTATATACATAGCAGCCGAAGGTAGGGAGAAGGGCTGGCTGACCCGTTGACATACTTAGACATGGGCAGCGCTCGCTCTGGCCGTGATTTGTTCCAGCTTCGATGTGACACTGGGAGCCAGCCTATGGATTGCCGGAGCCGCTGGAAGCCAAGCCCATGCAGTCCTCCAAGGAGCCTATCCAGGTTTTTCAGGATTGTGCCCCTTTAACGTTTCTTTGTTGGGGTGGAGGGTTCCCCTACTAAAATCGACTACAGAAAAAGGTTGGTACCCTTATTCTATCCTCTCTACTGGAGGACCTAGCTATAGCATGTCGCCGTAGAGAGGACCTAGCTATAGCATGTCGCCGTTTCTTGGACAAGAAGCACCTCCCCTGTCTAAGGCTCACCTTCCAGCACAGCTTGCTGGTTGCGTGCTCAGATGGATGCAGAGAGCTGCATGCTTGTTTCCATGAGCCGTTTGGAACAGGCTGCCAACCAGTGGGTAGCGGCAATTGCTGAGTCACTGTGGCAAGTAACCCCCCTGGAGTGACACATCCTCTCAGCCCTGCTGCCATTCCCTACTGAGTTGTTCAGAGATAGGTGTGGTGGTACTTGTTCAATTCAAAGGGTTGCATAAGGAGCTGGGCATGTAAACGGGCCGATCCCGCAACACACCTCATGCATGTTTTTTGTTTGAACCGACGTGTCAAGATTCATGTCCCATCCGAAGGGTTGTGGGATCAAGGGGTTTATTCCCACTCCTGTGATACAAGATAATCCCCCTTTCTATGAACAATTTAGTCTTTGGGAATCCCTTTCTGTTGTATCATAGAAGTGGTCATTCCCCACGGCCCTGCTTCTAACCTTTTCCTTGATGCTCTACTTTCAAACCACCCATGGTTCAACCTGCATCACGTGTTTTTGTTGGGGTGCTGCTTGGGGACGTCTAGGGACCCTGTTGTGGCAACGCGCAAATGGCAACTTACTGAAGTTAGACACTCCAGCTGGTAACCATTGTAGTTTCCTTTATTATTGCTCGCTTTCGGCGAGCAGTAGGTTGTCAACCTTCTAGTGCGTAAGCAGGTCGGCAGAAAAGTGACCTTAGACGTCAGCCAAGTGGTCTTACCCAGTGATTCCATTTGTAGAGTGGGTGACAAAATGTAGCCTCGGGCAACTCAAACATGGAATGCGCCTTTCAGGTTCCATGGTAAGGGTAGCTGGGATCTGGGATCTCCCTAGGGCTAGGAGTGCTTGATTCTCCTCTTACCATCCTTGGGTAAATGACCTCAAAGGGGTATATTACCTCTTACCCTCACTCTCATGGACCCGCCAGGTTTGTAGAGGACATTCACTTTCTGGTGCCTTCTGTTCGTGGGAGCAAAGGTTTGAGCGGCATCAAAAGCGCCAAGTGGGCTCTCCCCCGAAGCTCGGCCGACGCGAAGGCCACCTCTGAGAAGCTGCGTTTGGACTCTCAGCGCTCGCAGCTTGGCGAATGCCGCAGGTCCCATGAGTCCAGGTCCCATGCGAAGGAGCCCGAAAAAACCTCCTGGGTGAATGAAGGGAATCCCCTCAGATCGCTGGAGCTTTCCTTCCTTCCAATTGGCGGTTTCTCATATTTATTTTCAAGGACCAGAGGTTCAGATCCCCAGTTCCCACCAATCCAAGCTATAAAGGGTTACCTCAATGAACCCCACTCTTTGGAAGGGCTTCACATCGGCAGGTGCTAGGCGTACATAGGGCACACCGCGACAGGCAGGGGCAGCCATGTTGAGTGGCATAGTTTTTGAGGATACCGCTTCTTGGGCCTGTGTCACGGAAGCGAAACGAAAGCGTTTCATAGCTATGGATTCCAAAAACAAAAAAACACGCCATACGATTGGGGAACCCTTTGGGGTAGGGATTTGGAAGGATCAAGGTAAAGAAAGCTTTGTCTTCATGGTCGTGCCCTTTTTTTCCTCGGGAGACCGACAAAAACACGGCCCTTGAGGTTTCTCCGTCTCTCACTTGGCCTCAAGCCGTTCAAACGTGTGAGTGTGTTGGGAAGGCCCTTGAACCCAAAGGTTTGGGGCAAGCCTTCAGCAAGCGGGGATTTCAACGGGGCCCGTGGTGTTTCAAGGAGAGAGATGAGTAAACTGTGTAGGACCAAACGCTACATAAGTGTGTATATATATATACATATACATACAGAGGTAAAATGTGGATCTTGGGGGGGGTGACCATATATATATATACATATATATATATATATATATACACCTACTTATTTCCGACTCGGGGGTGAACCGCGTCTCTAAACGATGGTTTAAAACCGCACCAAGTCAATGAGACGAGTTCGGCTTGGGTTCCTTCGGCCAATCTACAGACCCAATCTGGAGACCTGAGACCGTGCACAAGGCGCGCGACGCCTCCACGTACTGTTCGGCATGTGTTCTGTGGGCTTCAACAGGCGGTGTGACATGAATTGTCGGGTTTCAATGAAGCGACCTTAAAAGGGGGGTGGGTGGCTATGAAAATGGTAAATCTTCCTTTAGTTGGGGATTCAATGTGTCAGGTCTGTGACTTCCATTCCTTACGTTAGACAGGATAGTAGTTCGCCCATCAAACTTGCTGCATGTCCTAGTAAGTTGCCAATGCTACTTATAGACTTCTAACAGTCCTAGGGGCTGATTCCCCCTTTTTTCAACCATCGTTCTTTCAATAACCAGATCCGTTTTCCCCGGGTCTCCGGAGTTTTTCTAAGATTCGGATCCCTGGGTTCAGAGTGGAAATGGAAGGTTCCCGAGCAGTGGGCCCTCCCATTGCGAGACGAGCCTCGGGCTGCGAGCCTCGGGCCTCGAGTCCGGTCGCGCCAAGGCGGGCCTTTGTGGCCATCGAAGGCTCAGTGCAGAAGACCATGGAGAAGAGGATCGTATCGGCGTGGGGGAGTCGCATGGGGCGTGCCGTTTTTTTGGTGCGTACCTTATTTTTGGGATGGTTTCAGAATGTCAAAACCACAAGGAAAACCAGAAGAGCTCACGGATTCCTGGTATGAGCCTTTGTTTCACGATTTCGCCTTGGTTTTTCGGGGGGCTGCGCCTTCCACTCTAATAAATCTCTCTTAAAGGACCCTTTTAGTGATAGATCATGTGGAGACAAACCCAGATTCCCGTTGGTTTGCCCTGAACCACAACATTCCCCCGGTCGGTGAAGAAAGGGCAGCAAGGACCGGAAGGTCCGAATCCAAGACGAGCCATCAAGGACCCAAGCGCCCGGCTGGCTTCGGCAAAGAAGCCTGGGGGAACCAATCGGAACACGTGGCTGTGGTTCAAACCCAATGGTACCATTGTGGGGTGGGTGCACCACCCATGGTAGTTTTTTTTAGTGGGGATTGGGATGTTCACTGGGGGTACGGGCTGTTGACCCATGGCCACGTGTGTTATGAAAAACAACTTTGAGCGTCGGCTTCGCTTTTGTTGGTTGTTTTGGACAACACACCAGTAATGCCCAACCAACTTAGTAATGTTGGCTGCATATTACTCAACCCCAGTTTATTGCTGGGGGGTGGTGGCCCCTCCAAAAGTGATGCTTCCCCACAATTCACCCAGAAACACTCCCCCCTGTTCATAAACTGGGGTTGATTGATAAAAGAATCGTTTGGAGCTGAAGCTTCTTTTGGTCGAACTCGAGCTCGCCAACCAGGACAGCTTGGGTTCACTCTAACTCGCGATGGGGTTTAAGCAGAGCCACACTTTGAACCACTGATGGGAGTGGATTGCCCCCAAAGGAAGGGAAGCCCCAAGGTTTTCTTCCTGGAAAGAGTAAAAGAGACCCCTCTCCCCCCACGCTCTTCCGGGGTTTTTCTGGTGCTTTCCCCCACCCCGCCGCCAAACACAGGATATGAGACGTCAAGCCATGATTTAGACATGGTTTGGAAGAGGCTGCGCTTCGGCCCCAAGCTTGAGGAGCCAACAACTGGCGGCGGAGAAGCAGCAGGACGGGTTGGGCTTAAACATTCTTGAGAGAGTTGCTGTGATGTAAAGTCTCATCTGAGGCTGTTTCAACCTCAAACTGTTCAACTCAGAAAGCTTGTGTAGTCTTGAGTCGATTGTTTCCTCGCCGGCATGCTTGGGGGGGTTGGTTAGACCTGTGTGCTTCTTCCCCGGGAAGCAGAATGAGCTTTTGGCAAGATCGCCTGAGGGAGCACGGATAAGATGCACAGAGATGCCGCCAAAGAGATCGCCGCAGAGATTAGAGATTGCACAGGAACGAGAGATAGCAGAGCCAAGATGCTGCCAAGAGATCTCCTGAGAAATTGCACAGACAAATGTAAACAACGTTTCGTTTGGGGAAGTTAGAACGGTAGGTTAATATGGGAGCCATGGCGCGCTGTGCACTTAGCTTCCGCTGAGGGATCTGCGGAACTAGATTGTCCAGCTCAATCTGGCCGACTTGCTGGAGCAGGTCATGTCAGAGACGCTAGCTTAAGACAAAACCATGGATAGCCAGTCACTCACACTGTGGAGGAATGCAGTGGCCCAACTGTAAGTCGCATCTCGCAGGAGTCTGAGGATGCGACGTGGCAGCAAAGCAGGAACCTTGCAAAGGCCCACCGCGAGGAATCATTTTCCTTGGCGCTGATTTGCTGCTCTCTTTTTTTGGCGAGGGGCATGATGTACCCAAATATGTATACAGTATGACATAATAATATTTGCGTACATGCACTGGCCTACACGCACACGCGCAGACAGACAGCCAGACCGACCGACAGACAGACAGACACACCGACACCGACGGACAGGCAGACACACAGTACATACAGACAGACAGACAGACAGACAGACAGAGACAGACAGACAGAGACAGACAGACAGACAGAGACAGACAGACAGACAGAGACAGACAGAGACAGACAGAGACAGACAGAGACAGACAGAGACAGACAGAGACAGACAGAGACAGACAGAGACAGACAGAGACAGACAGAGACAGACAGAGACAGACAGAGACAGACAGAGACAGACAGAGACAGACAGACAGACAGACAGACAGACAGACAGACAGACAGACAGACAGACAGACAGACAGACAGACAGAGACAGACAGACAGACAGACAGACAGACAGACAGACAGACAGACAGACAGACAGACAGACAGACAGACAGACAGACAGACAGACAGACAGACAGACAGACAGACAGACAGACAGACAGACAGACAGACAGACAGACAGACAGACAGACAGACAGACAGACAGACAGACAGACAGACAGACAGACAGACAGACACAGACAGAGACAGACAGACAGACAGACAGACAGACAGACAGACAGACAGACAGACAGACAGACAGACAGACAGACAGACAGACAGACAGACAGACAGACAGACAGACAGACAGACAGACAGACAGACAGACAGAGACAGACAGACAGACAGACAGACAGAGACAGACAGACAGACAGACAGACAGACAGACAGACAGACAGACAGACAGACAGACAGACAGACAGACAGACAGACAGACAGACAGACAGACAGACAGACAGACAGACAGACAGACAGACAGACAGACAGACAGACAGACAGACAGACAGACAGACAGACAGACAGACAGACAGACAGACAGACAGACAGACAGACAGACAGACAGACAGACAGACAGACAGACAGACAGACAGACAGACAGACAGACAGACAGACAGACAGACAGACAGACAGACAGACAGACAGACAGACAGACAGACAGACAGACAGACAGACAGACAGACAGACAGACAGACAGACAGACAGACAGACAGACAGACAGACAGACAGACAGACAGACAGACAGACAGACAGACAGACAGACAGACAGACAGACAGACAGACAGACAGACAGACAGACAGACAGACAGACAGACAGACAGACAGACAGACAGACAGACAGACAGACAGACAGACAGACAGACAGACAGACAGACAGACAGACAGACAGACAGACAGACAGACAGACAGACAGACAGACAGACAGACAGACAGACAGACAGACACAGACAGAGACAGACAGAGACAGACAGAGACAGACAGAGACAGACAGAGACAGACAGAGACAGACAGTGACAGACAGTGACAGACAGACAGACAGACAGACAGACAGACAGACAGACAGACAGACAGACAGACAGACAGACAGACAGACAGACAGACAGACAGACAGACAGACAGACAGACAGACAGACAGACACCATACCCCCATACACACATGCATGCATAGCCGCGTACACACATACACACACGCACACTCACACGCACACGCACACGCACACGCAAACGCACGCACGCACGCAAACACACGCAAACACACGCAAACACACGCACAACCACACACACACACACACAAACGCACAAACACCCGCACACCCACACGCACACACATTGCCATGCATATACGTATATAATATGTATGTTTGTACACATGATGTATACTTACATATGTTCACGCATACATATGTGAACACACACATACTTTATGTATGTATATATATATATATATGTATACAGCTGATTACATCTGTTATCGCATCTAGTCTTGCACACGGCAATGCATGTATACACATATGCACTGGTACACATTCTTATATGCACACAATGGGGCCCTTTACTGGATGTCATTCCTTTTTGAGTCCATGGAACTTGCAGAAATGTTTGTGAGCCTTTGTTGAATGTTGAAGCTGTGGGGATGCTGCGAGTCCTGCCCAACCCGGCCCCCCAACCACAAATGCATGCTTTCCGGTGGCTTTCCTTTAATTCACATTCCATAGGTTTAGGAAACACATATCATGTGGCGAGATTGTGCCCCTGCTGTTGGGCCAATGCATCCCTTGAATTGACTTGCCTCCTCCAATGCCCCGTGCAAACTAGATTACTCACACACATTGTTCACATGGATGCTTGAGGTTTCCGGATCGAATCAAGTCTTGTGACCTCGCCATGCAGTCCCCAATCACAGAACTAGCTGGCTGAAACTGGGGCTAGTAGCTAGCAGCTTCTATTCGAGAACTCACGCCCAGCGGGCCATTTGTTTCTCTCCCACAGCCTTTCACGGCCTTGCCTTGCAATTGACTTCCAGGCAGCCATTTGGTAACTTCCCATGTGCGCCAGACGGGCGCAGTGTTGATGTGTTGTGTCCGGTTGAGCATGGACCTGCCACCGAAAGGCATAGCTTCTGGGGCCATGCTTGATTTCCGCCTGGAAGAGCCTTTCATGTTGGTTAATGTTTTACTTGGCACCTCCCCGCGCCCCTTTCCTTTCGCATTTTACACCTCACGCTTTGCAGACGCCGGAGCACTGGAAACAACTTGAGGCGAGCCCACCACCTCCGCCACCTTTGCCGCCGGTGAGTGCCTCAGAGACATCGCAGTGGGGAAGATATGGATTTGTCTGTTTTTGGGACTCTTTTCTTGGTCTCCCAGCCATCCCCTTAGTTGTTTTAGCTTTTAGTGTTTAGTGGTGTTGTCCATTTGGACAGCTCAGCTTTTTGGTGGTTTGGCCACTTTGGGAGGAGCCTGGACGGGTCCAAAAACGCGAGCCCACACAGCTATGTTGGTCGTTGAGCCATGCCAAAGTATGGCACTCATCCCAACTACTGGATGAACGAAACATGTTTGATGCCAACAAAGGTCGGCTGCTTTGAATACGCTGAATACATGCCATTCCCATAAGTGTCCTTGCTGGTTTGCTTAAAAAGCAGAGGGCCCTGGTTTACCTGATGGCTCAATCATCTACCAGGGCCATCTATTTTCCAAAAAGGACACCTATGGCCATTCCGTTTAGCTCAGCATGTGAACACAGACCGTTCTGCCCCGTTAGCTACCTTCCTCCCCGCGAGCTTTGGAGGCATCAACAGGTGGTCCCTAGGCTCGGTTTGCCCGCAGCAGTTTGCCCGCAGCAGTTTGCCCGCAGCCGTTCTGGTTAAGCCAAAGCGGGCGAGGGTGTTTTTTCGAGTACCAAACATATGTCGAGAGCTTGAGGCGGTGATGAACCTTGCCGAAGCCAGTCGCTCAGAAGCCACCGCCACCTCCTATGCCACCAACATCGACTTTGATGATTTGGACAACAGTGAGCTGGATGAAGCAGAGGTGGCAAAGCAGGCCAGCTTGGTGGAGGAGTACTTCCCCGGCAACCCAGTTGACTGGGTCCATCTCTTTTTTTACCTTTTTTTTTCCCCGGGGGGTGGGGGGGTGGGGGGTGGGCGACAGGTCCCCTTATCAACCTTCAACTCGTTGGGGGGTTGGTTTCCTTTCAAAATCAACCAACCAAACTAGAATCGGTGCCAGCGAGGTGTTCCTCCACCCCTTTTTGGTTGTTTGGGGGTCTGGTTTCCCTTGAAACACTATCCAACAAAGAGTTGATGCCGATAAATTGGCCCCCATGGACACAACATGTTTTTTTTGTTGTGTTCCATATGTTTGACTTAGTTTTTTCTTTGAGAATCAAGCAACAAAGAATGACGCCAATCATTTGCTCATGGACATCTTTTCTTGCCGAGGCAACCTGGAGAAAAGCGGGAACGGCTTCGTGAGTTCGCGCAGCGACCGCTTCTCCATGCTGTCAGTGGCAGGGCCCCAGGTGGAGATGGACACGTTGCCCTTCCTGCTGGTGGTCTTCGTTGCCCCTCTGCAAAAAAAAGCAATGCTTCAGGCTTCCACTTGGTTAAGAATATGTTTTACCCTCCCACCAGCTAACATGGAAGTGGACACACTCCTGTAGAAAGACTGCTTTCCTCTTGGAAAGGGCCTTTTTGCACTTCCATGTTAGTTGGTGGGAGGGTATTTCCCCTGTTGACTTGAAAGGGAAATATTGTTTTGTCCAGGGGACTTAAGCAAATGGAGGCAGCGGTTGATTCCCCAGGCAACCCTTGTTCTTTTCAAGAATCAGCTGTTTCCCCTGGGTTTTGTTGTTTTCCTGAAAAGAAGGATCCGTAGAAAGAATGGGGACACTTCCCATTCTTCCCCTGGAAATGCGGCAAAGCAAATTGGGACCCTGGTTCAGCCCTCTCTCCCAAAGTTTTGGGGGTGAAAGGCAAACCCAAGACATTCTATTTGGGGCGGTTTTTTGAAGCAAATCGATCTGTTGAACATTCTGTTTTCCCAACTTGGGCGATTTGGCATTTCCTGCGTTTACCTTTTCCGCTGTGGTTTGGCTCAAGGATCCCAAACAGAAGCCCTTTTCCAGAAAGCCTTTTACTTTAGTCCTTGCCGGCTTTGGCCTCCTGTTAAAGGGGTTCCGGTGTTCCCTCCATCAAGTGGTCAAAGGCAAGGCCACTCTTAGCGTGTCCGCTAAAATTATTGGCATGGCCCCGGGGGTCCATAATTTAGGACCCCTTCTTGTCAAGCGTTGGCATACGACAGGTGTATGTTTATCCTTTGGCATTTCTGGTTTATCCACCGACCGCGTTACACGACCCATAGATATGCGGGGAGGAAAAGGTTCAAACGGTTTCTCGGAGTCTCGGAGCCCTTGGAAAGCCTGACCAAAGTCTCACAGCTGGGTCTCCATCATGTTCAATTTTAGGGCTAGACTACACGGGTGTGTCTATTTTTAGGGGAAACCTCAAAGAAGAAACATATATCAAGAAATGCGGTTTTCCTTTTGGTTTCCCTTTGCCACCGGAGAAAAAACAAAAGGGGACACCCTCAAAAGTTCACACCCATACGAAACGGCGGCCTATGTCGATTTGTCGTGTACCCCGTCGGCCAAGAGGTCGTCGTGGCAGCGCTGCTGGGGATGGTGGTGGCAGGACTTCATGACATGGTGAAGTACGCGGGCTGCCCTCTCGGGATCAACGGATGCAACAGCTTCTCAGGAGCGATCCCAAACTTGATCCAGAAAAGTCAAATGAAAAGAGCTACTCCGGAAAGGGCTGATGTTTTTTTCACCACACCCGGCTTGAATTGGGTGTTCAGAGCCTCTATGACTCTATGAATCCTCTGACATGATAAATTGGTACCGAACGCTGGGTCGATCCGAGCGCTCCGCAGGTCCCTACTATGAGAAGAAGGTGAACCTGTCGCACTGGTCGAGTCGTTGGTTTTTCTTGTTGAGACCCGTTTCACGGGTTCGGTTTTTTCAGCGGGTTCCGAACTCTGAGCACAATCATGTGTGGATCGCATCCAAAGGAAACCATTTGAACCCGTGGGTCAGCCAACCAGTGGATTGCTGTGGGATTTGCAAATTGAACTCCAAGCCTCCATGTGTCTCGTGAGTGTGTGTGTGTGTGTGTGTTGCTCCAACAACAGAAAACAGGTTCATGGATCCATGGACATCAACAACAAGTCAGCCGGCCATTTGTTTTCCCTGTATAGTATATGCAAGGTAACCCCTGTAAACACCTAAAGGATAATGGCTGGTTACCCACTTGAGTGACTTGGGATGCAATGTCAGCTAAGGGCTATATCTTGCAGGAACTCTTTGAAGGATATATCCCTGAAGACGTGCTTTACGTCTTGATGGCCACGATCTCGATGCTTTGCATCGGGCTCATTGCGCATGTAGCACCGGATGATGTGGGAAAGCAGGCGAGGGGGCCCGAGTTTTCGTGGTGTATTGAGTTTTGTTGGGGCAGCAGCCGATCCGTTCAGTGACAACCCTGCCTGTACATATGGATGCGGCATATATATATATATATATGTGTGACAGGTTATACACAACTCGTTAGTACCTATCAAAGCCTCACAAACACAATATGTCGACTCCCCAAGTGGGCGACACAAACGGGCACCCCATAATGCGCAGATGGGCTCAAACGCGATTGAGCATTGCCTTTGTTCCTTTTGCAAAGGGCTTTGAGCGCCTTTCTCAGAGTTCGTGAGTGGAACAAGGGTAAGTTATGTGTTTTCTGCGAAGAGGGGACATAGTAGATCCGAGTCACTGAGATGTTTGCAGTTTCCCATGCGCCCAACGGCTTTCTATGCTTGCCAGCTTCAAAACCAGTTTGCTACGTTCTGCACAGTTCTCTCCTTGGGAGGTTTATAGCATATATATATATATACAGGATTTGCCTTCGTCCCATAAATAGGATCACCTGGAGTTTGGAAGCCCTTTTGACGGTATTATATTTGCGAGGTTTGTGTCCAGGAAACCGAGGGGAAGCCACCCATTTGGGAGGTCCCGTATTGGATTTGACCCGCACATCCATTTGCTAAAGTCGCTCTCTGATTTTCTGGGTTTTCGGGGGGATGTTGTGATGGCGAGATATGTGTATTATCCCAGGGATTTTGGTATGCTGCCTTGATATTACAAAACCACCTGCTTTTGGATTGTTCCCAAGGTAAAACCGTGGTATTTCGGATGAACTCGGTGGTTTTGTGGGTGTAATCCCAGGGTGGAATACCAAAAGCCTTAGATTTCTTCAGCGGCGCGTTAATCACACTCCGCTTTGCACCATCAGACTGACATTGCTGACCCAAACACGGATGGCTGTCTCTCCAAGTCCGACCTCAAGCAACTACTTAGGTCTCCAAAGCCAAGCTTTTCAGCTTTCGGGTGTTCAGTCAAGTTAAGTCACTTCCTGATTCCTGGACACAGTCACTTTTTGGAAAGACCCTTTCAGTGGCAAAATTAAGAGTTTGGGAGCTTGTTGTTGGGGCAATCTCGAGCGGAAGTGAGTCAAGGTCTTTACGGCTTATTTGTCCAGGTCCTCGCTAGAAGCCAAAGGTTCATGCTGAGTTCCGAGCCGGCGTCTTTATTTGGTTGATTTAAAACGGTCAACGCACGGAGACTGGCAAATTGAAAACTCCAGCGGCCGGCAGCGGCCAAGGAAGGATTGCCGCGATGGGTGCCCAAGGGCTGTGCTGGCTGGGCTTGCTGAAATGACTCTGGGGCCTAGAGCAAGGACTCAGAGGAAGTTCCTGGCACACGTCAGCTACTGATTTTAAACGCAGTGTTTTTGTAGAATTTGGGACCTCAAAGTTCCTTCTTTCTGAAAAAAATGCGTAGTGCCTTTGTTAAATTGTATCCAACTTCTAACTGAGCTTAAGTATAACGACTTAAAAGGGAAAGCATAATGACTTAAAAGGGAAATCATCGAATCATAACCCTCTGTTTACATGTGGATCTAAGATATAAGTATCCTATGTCAGTTTAGAGCTTATGCAGGGTTTCCTTTTGGATATACGGTTCTTTACAAACGAGCTAGCGTCTAAACACAGTCTGCTCAACAAGGTCTCTGCAGAAGCAAAGCGCGTTCGAACAGCAAATATAGACTAGCATGCGCAAGATCGAAATGTACAATTCATAAAGTTCACTGCCACACCCAGTGCTTCCAGTTGCCACTCAAGTATAGGTAGGCCTTCGTTTTTGCTCTCTTTTTTTTCTTCAGGTTTTACATCATTTCCC